ATGCTTTAAAGTACTACTCGAGAAAGTGGGGCATTGGAGCTATGGGCTTCAAAGAGCAACTTCCAGATGTATTTTATATGTGTGAACAAAGATGACACCGTATTGTCAATAACTTAATGGCATTCCATGATACTTAAGATTGATTTTTGAATTTTTTGGATATCAGGCCACCGAATCTGATCGTGTATAAGAGAAGACGCCTCCTGTCTACCGATAAGTGTTCTTTTTTCATCAACATTGACAATCAAAACGCTTCGTTTTGGTGTCTGCAGGTCGCTTGCTTTATCGCGATCTTCACAGCACGTCAAGGACGCAATCCATCAGCCGCTTCGTTTCGATGTATCTGTACATTTTTGAGCAACTAGATAGAATGGTCGATGAAAACTGTTATTTAAGATCTAGAAATACTGCGCTAAATCATTTGTCTTTGCGTGGGTGTATACCACAACGGAGAAAAGTGCTTTGGCACAAACATTTTATACGGCACTTGTAATCTGCTTTGACAGTAGTCTCATTGAGAAATGGTAAAACCCAATTTCCTTAATAAAGTCAATGGTTTTAAACAATTTGCGTCATGTAAGAGTACCGTACGGTTTCATTTCAACTGAAGGACTTTTCCAAGTCTACTTCCACCTGACATCAGCAACCCAAACATACTTAATGAAAAACAATAAAAATGTTACATTGAAAAAAAAAGGATAAATTCGTTTTATCCCAAACACTTTAAGTGACCTTGGCGTTACCCGTTAAGTGAAAGGCCATTATTCAATTCCTAGCAAAGCCTTTCTCTAAGATTCTGTGTCAAAGACTTCGGCGCCATTTTACCATTTAGAGTGATCTAATCAGCTCGGATCATTGGGAAGGCTAAGGTGGATCAACAGTACTGATATTAACTAGATCTAGCCGCGTGCATTTAACAGGATGATGTTATCAGTGAAATACGATGCAAAACTCTGATTCTAGATTGAATATATGCCACAAAAGCATCTTTCATATTATTTTTAATGTTTCTTTATTATTTATATGGTTATTTATATTTTTGTTTATATATTGATTTCATTGCAAAGTCCCTCAAGTGTCTCCCAGATCCCGAATTGGGTATTCAAACAATTAAGACTTGCCAATAATGTTCTGAAACAGAATCCAAAATTGAATCCAAAGAATGCAGAATCCAAATGAAAAAAAAATGGCACAACAACTATTCCCCATCAGGAGGTTATAATTAGAGGATTTGTTTGTCTGACTCATGAGACTCGCAATGTAGAAACATTACAGTCTGAAAATGTTGTTAAAATCAATCTCTGTGATAATGTTACATGCGACAAAATTAACACGAAATGTCTGTATGCCAGACATCATTGGAACAGATTAGGCACCCGTAATTGGATAAAACCAATCGCGACCAAACCCCACTGAGTAATGCAATGCTGCGCAAGTTGAGAACAAAACTCGCCGTCCTCATTTCAATCTCATTTTCATACCTTTGGCCTATTAGTAAACTGTACGTTTCACCAAGATCTTTCTTACTCATGAAATATGTTTTGAAACGAACTGAAACAAAGAAGAATTATTGCATGATAGACATAAAAAGGGAAAAGTCCCCAAAGCTCGAAATACATGTAAGTACCAAAGCTAGATGAGATGAAAGAACAAACTAGCTGAACCGTAACTTCCTCTACACTGTATGCTAAGGATAGGAAACTAAACTGAGAGATAACGTTTGCCGTGGAACCTTGTCGATTTGGTTATTGGATAAGATGGAGTAAGAGAAATCGTGTTTGAATTCATAGAGTAATAAGAACCCATTACATGCCACGTAACGGTTAATCTTCCTTTAACATGCGAACTGCCGTTTCTCATTACAGAGAGAAGCTTAATAATTACCCGATCACGGCAACTTTAATTGGCTCATTTCTCTGACTAGAATATTGCGAAAAGCTACCAGGAAAATGCCAGTAAGCTTATGATCAATCCGTCTGCCTCTAATTATACAGTCCCCTCTTATCCTCGCTGAATTAAGAAAATCTTTGATGTGTCTAGAATAGAACAAGGTTTCATGTTGGATGCAAAACAACCGTCATCTCTATCTATCATCATTTTGATCCATGCGCTGCCTCGACGGGAATATTCCAACACGCAATTTAGCAAGATACCACAAGATTTAATCAACGCATGAATCACATTTTATGAACGATTCTATCCTGTTTCCTCCAACTGGCAAAACCATAGGTCGACCTGTGGATTTCCAGCGGGGTTCATTGGTTGACGTTAAGATTAGATGACATTGTTTTCAATATCCCTGAGGACATTTCAGCCGGCATGTTGATAAAGCTGTAACCAGGTTTATAGGACAACTTGTACAGCAATTGAGTAGTCTGACAAGCAACGTGCGATTGTTGATTGAAGATAAAGAAAAATATCACATTTGGTGTTTGTTCAGCTAGATTAGATTTTTCATTTTAAAGTGTATTTGAATTATACACGTAAAAATGTATCTGGGAATGTCCGTAAATGAAGAGGGCGGCATAAGAATAATTAGAATGTTACCATCGCCTTATACGTGTTCTATAAATGGCAGATACAACACTGTTATCAAAATATGCCATCTAAGTTATGATATCTTTTAGATATGTGTTTTAAATTTCAAATGATGATTTTAATTGCTGTTTGGATTATCTGAATTTGAAGAAGCAAAATTCCATTTTTTTTATTCTGCAATGCCCGTTCTAATTTAAAAATAAGTCATTTTTCGTCGACTCCTTGATTTCTTGAAGGTCTGCCAGTAAAATTCACATCCCAGAAGCACTTACTGCTTTTTTTTTTTTTTTTTTTTTTTTTTACAAACCTACACATCACATCAAATGACGTCCAATGCCACCAATATGATCAGCGATGTTAAGAAACTGAGCGTCCGTGTAACAAAGTCGGCGCTCCATTAGATTCATACAGGTAAGGGTAAGCGTGATGTAAAACCTAGGTCAAAACCTAGGTCGGTGTTTTTAATATAAATGAGAATTGGATCCTACATCAGAGGAGGCTCTCTTGTACGAGACGCTGACGCCCTTGGCTCAGTGCGTATCCATTTCCTTAAAGAATGAATCCAACAATGACAGTAATGACATTTAAGAGAAGTGCCATCCTTATAGATTGGTCCATTTATTTTTCACCTGACCACATGAAAAGGAAATTGACACCGCATAAAGACTGAGCTAATGCCAGTCGTAATCATTTAATGACTCCTTGGTGAGTATTGCATGAGATGGCTTTAAACTGACCTGGGCTTTAATGGTTTTTCTTTCGGACAATCATTTATAATTTCATTATATTTATTTTATATTTACCTATCTTTTTTTCAATTAAGTATTAATTGACCAAGTTTCCCTAAAGTTGCTTTTCGCTTAGCAAACATGCATATCAGTCCAGGGGCGGATTTAGGCCGTCTTCTGGGTCGTCCAGAAGACGGTCAGATTTTCAAGTTTACATTGACGGGTATCTAATTATTTCTGTCGGAAGACGGTCAAAAATGGAGGATGGATCAACAGAGATAATTTGGAAGGCTGTCAGAAAATATCTCTGGATCCGCCCATTGTGTGCTGACATACATATCGGCAGATTTTTGCTCATTAAATAAATCGCACCTGCACGGTTCGATCACATAGACAATGTACACCTGTATGCCTTGAGTGGACGGTAAAAGCACGATCCATCACTTGAGGTATTTGCCTGTCTGACAACTTTATACCAAGTGTGGTTTCTCAGTAATGAGATGGTACTTGAATGACATTAGCTTTAAAAAAAGATGTAGAGAGAAAGAGAGGGAGAGAGAGAGAGAGAAATTGTTCTGATCATTTTTGTCCGCACAGATTAAATCGTTTTCACATAATCGTGATTCTGTCATATTTAAAAACTTCTTCAAGTCCCCTTGAAGCCATTGTGTTTCCTTTTGTCGAAGCCTAATGTTTAAATTGCCTGATAAATGGAGTCGTGAAGACGACGAATCGAATATCTATGGCAGAAAAATTCTTTTAAGACATTTGTTTCCGGCGTCTTGATATAACATAGTTTCCTTTTCATTACGCTTTGCATATACGTGTATATATCATTGTCTTCATAGTATGTCCAGTACTTTCTTTTAAGGAGATCTATATCGCCTTTTAAGGTCTGCATCGGGAAATAGATAAAAACGCCACAAGGTACGTTTCAAATAAATTATTCAAGGCCTTTAAGGTTTGGATGAAGAAAAATAGGAAGCTTTGCAGGATTAAAATATGTCTGTGGATCATTTTCAACCGCGTGCGGATCACCATTAACCAATCCTTCAATTTTGTCTGGCTTTAGTTCGAAGCAAAATAAAATGCATTAAGATATTAATATCTCTAGGAATGGTGGAATAAATTGCAGCCACAGGGAATTGATATGATTCCAGCAATTACTCGCCTTTGCCCTAAAGCCCCCAGAGCAACGTGCAAAGTGCCGTTCCGGTGAACGGTCAATCTTTTTTTTTTTTTCAACCCAACAGCTAAAATACATTAGACGTCGACGCCGTCCGCAAATAATAAAAAATTAGTGCTTGGTAAAAATTACTTTTATATCTACTGCCCAAGGTTCTTCCTCAAAGAGATGTAAAGAAATCAGAAAGTTCTGGAAATGGTGAAAAGGTCTTGCAATCGCAATTACCGGATGGAAATTTTCACCATTGTTTTTAATACGATAAACATTGGTTGTGTGTAGGCAGCTCCGTTTTCAAGCTATGGATTTCTTTGCAATTGTCAGACTGCGTATGAAGTGGAGAAAATATCAATTGTCATTTTGATATATCTGTTTTTTATTCATTTACTTATTTATCTGTATTAATTTTTTTAATTAGTCAAGTAAAAAAACTTCATCGAACGACCAATTACACGCTAACAATACAAATTAAGTTTTATAAAATATTAACACAGACAAACACATTTAACAGAAAAAATCAGAGACAATATCAAGAGTCAATAACACAAATATCTTTAGCCAGTGCAACAATTATATTGTCAGATTTGTACAGCCGATATCCCAAAAAGTACAATAAAATGCAGTTTAGTGTTTTCCATACTGATTACTCCAAGCCGCACACAGTAACCCACGAAAAGGTTGCAAGATAATATAGTGAATTGATAGAAGCTAGACATGAAATTAAAAAATCATGAGAAGGAGACCACAAGTCAAATAACAGATGACAACAATATTGACTCTTCCCTCTTTGTATGCAGTGCAATCTCTGACTGTGCTTTTCTCTCAACCCAACCAAATCTCAATCACGTACACCCCGTCTGCAAGAGCCGATTGTTATCCCCCTCCTGTGCACCCTGAATCACCCCCGAGGACGCCTTCGTCATGATCACGTGCCCCATCGCCTGCACGAACGCCGCATCGAACACGCTGGGGGCGGGAATCGTGGACATGTGGGCCGCGAGGACCCCCGCTACGAAGGGGCTTGCCATGGAGGTGCCGCTGAGGGCGGCGGCGGCGGTTTGAGCGCTGTAGTAGGCGCTCCCTATACTGAGACCAGGGGCGTAGACGTTGGTACAGGCACCGCGGTTAGAAAACCAGGTGATGCTGTCGTCTCGGTCCATGGCCCCCACAGTGATGGCGTCCTTTACTCGGGCCGGCGAGGTCGTACATGCGTCACCTAGAATAAAAATACATTATTATTTTTTTTTTCTTTTTTTTTTTTTTGTCGTTCATTCTATTTTGTTCTATTTTGTTCTCATTTTTTCTACTTATTTTTAAAGTACATTAACTACTTAAAACAAGCATTTGACATGGCTTAAAAACGTGATTGAAAGGACCATCTTTTACTCATCAGAGGTTTATTTCTCTGATTTATTCATGTCCTCAATCTTTGCAATATGGTAGCAATACATTCACACAATAATTATTCACCAAATGCTTTGTTAATGTATCCCTGCAATAACGGTACTGTATTGTGCAGCGCAAGGCTTGACATCACACAAAACACAATGGTGAACTCTATACGCTGTCACACCTAACGCATTGCATATAAATTCCACCTTTAAATAGTAGTAAAATGCCGATACCACACTGAGAGGACCTTGGTAACCAGTAAGTTACAACATGAACTTATTTAACAGTTCTCGTCGAGAAGTGTCATGTTACTTCACTGGGATAAACTGTTTTTCTACAAATTTTCAAATAATAAATAATTAGTTAAAATAAGGGAAAGAAATGAAAAAGGGAAAAAAGGGGAAAAAATCTGACATACCTCCATTGTTACCAGCGGCGACAGTGACAACAATGCCATTCTCTATCGCCTCTTTGACAACGTTGTCAAGGAGAGTGGATACAGCGCTACCTATCGACAAGTTGATGATGGACTTTCGCTTCCGCTCTATAGCTTTGTCTATGGCCCATTTAATACCATCGGCAACGTCAAAGGAACCGCCTTTGCCCCTCCAGTCCAAAATTTTTACCTGTAGAAAGAGAACAGTTACAGGTTGGGTGGTACTTTTACAAAGAAAACATATCACAAGTGCCACCTTTCAATCAGCATCAAAATAATTTACCCGAAAGAAAGTTCACTATTTTAGAAAAAAAAAAAAACGACCGCTACCTTTGAAATTGCTGATTTGACTAGACAACTAGACATTTATGTACCTGCCTCTGTCTATATTTTTCAAGATGTAAAAATAGCTAGTTTATCAATTTTGGCTTGTTCAGTAAAAACGTGTGTGTGTGTGTGTGTGCGTGTGTGTGCTCTTGTGCACGCATTCTAACCGAGGACACACACCCGCCCGAAACCCACTAACCGAGGACACACCTCCAACCGAGGACGTCCTCGGTTGACATAAGCAGTGGAATGCATAAAGGGGCCCATTTCAAGTTAGGTGGTGAAATTTGACGCTATTCTGAGCCAGTCCTCGGTTATGCTGTATAGCGCGGGCCAAATTCCCGCCACGAGTGTATCAGAAATACTGTCCAACTTTTTGTCTGAAATCGGGCTATACACACGCGTCNCTTCCCGCCACAATGCCAGCCACGTGCGTGCCATGCCCGTTGTCGTCTTCGGCTGCCCCCGCGTACGAGCCGTAGATGGAGAAGAACTCTGAGTCGACGCGGCGCGAACCTCCCAGAAGTTGGAATTCGGTATGATCGGCTCGAACACCTGGTGGTTGGGCAGTGAAAAGAATATGGTATGAATATTATACGATCGAGTGGGAAAACGTTCGTGTAGAGAAGTGTGGGCCTGTCTGCTTGTAACTCAAATATTATGTCAGACGTCATCAATGTGGAAATCAAAGAAAAGTATTAAAAATATCGTATTTGCATAATCAGAAAGCATCTCACTGTGTATTGTCCGAACATTTTGGGGCATAACTGTAGTCAAAAAAATATCTGGGCCCTCTTTTAATGACATGACTGCAAATTGTTCACTAGTATAATCTGTAATTGTCGTCCAGTTGCCATCCAGCATTACATTAAACACTCGTCGACTTATCATCATAACAGTATGAAAACTTGTGCATCACTTTTCTTTCTATACATGGAGCGACTTTCAGTTTAATTCTTATCAGCTAACTTTTTTACATGGAAAAACGGTCTGCAAGACAAGCCACGTTCGTACCTGTATCCACAACGTACACGTCCACCCCGTCACCGTCGCCATCTATATTCAATAAGTTGTCGTCTGCTGCGACTTTGTCGCTGTTGTCAATACGGTCGAGGCCCTGCGGAAAAGAGGATAATAATCCAAACATAAATCAATCTGAAAATTAATTTCTGATTTTTTCAAGAATATTTACCAACTTCATGCATATAAGGGATCTTTATAAAATCAGAGGTTATATTTAATATGTTTTTTTTTTCTTGAAACAAACAATTACTTATTATTATTATTATTATTATTATTATTATTATATTTTAATGATGTTTGACGTTTTGGTCTGTGTGCAACAAGCAATTGGCAGTGAAATCTCAAATTGAATAAATAAATTAATTAATTAATTAATTAACGAATAAACCCTTATTATCCGTACCCATTTGTAATACTCGTGTCTAGTGCCTGCGTCCAGTTTGTTACAGGCCAGAGCCTCTACTATGACCTCCTGTTCCACCTCCTCCACCAGGTCTGTCAGCTGGAGAAGCTTCATCAGGTCGCTAGAACAAAACGCGGTCCAATATATATTATAAATGTCTGTGAGTGAAAGAGGAGTGAGTGAGAAAAATATGTATTTAGTTATTTATCAATTTGTATTTTTCGAGATATGCAATAAAAAAAAATTAAAAAAAAACGCGGTCCAAAGTTACGCCGCATTCAGAACTAATTGATCTGGCTACTAACAGATCCCCGGATCAAATATGGCGCGTCCACATAAAAACTTGCCGTATCATTCCCTAACAGAGATGGAAAACATGCCCCGCGGTGACATTCAGGTGGAGAAGACATATTGGTTCCGCAAATCTGTTAGTTCGCTGTTGTGAATGCGATCTCTCTCTCTCTCTCTCTCTCTCTCTCTCTCTCTCTCTCTCTCTCTCTCTCTCTGTACCTTTCAGAAACATCCTCCAGAAGGATAGAGTCTCCTCTGTTTGATAATCCAGATCTCTGTTGTCTCGATTTTAACTTCCCGAGTCCGAGATTGCGCCCTTTGTTTTTACTGAACTGCCGTAGGAGCCCTTGAACTGTAAAGTTTACATAAATAAATAAATAAATAAATAAATAAATAAATAAATAATACACAGGAAATCAAGAAATAGAATATCTTGGAAAAAAAGGGTTAATAAGATATATGTTTATGAGCAAATGAACGAATAGATTATTAATAGATAAAATAGTTTGACACGCCTCCTTTTGTTTCCAAAGTCCTCAAATAATCACCAGCCCTTCTGTATTCTACTCAACACCAGGAAGAGGCCTGTCATTCATTTAAGCTGATTGCACACAGCAAGAGTCCCCGCAGAGTTGGATCGTTCTACGTAGGCAGATGGTGCCTATGAGAACGGAGCTTTAATGTCACCGACAATTGCGTGATGCAAGTGATATTGCTTTCACTTCCGCTTTCCAATCCCTTGCTTAACGTGACATTTTGCGGTAGCAATTGTCATTAGGTTTTATCACAAAAGTGTCGTTGTCCAGTGACAGTTACCTGACACTTCTCAGAAGTGACAAAATGACTTCCTGTTTCAGTGGAGCAATTTGATTGGATGATTGTGCAGTCATGACACACCGAAGGCTAACGAGGTTGTAGTATGAGTAAGTTCCTTACTTCTGTAGTCAGGTGATAACAGTTCTGTAAATTGTACTTTATATTTTTGGTGAATCATGACTGGTAAACCATATGGGGAGTTTGACTTATGACACTATATTGGTGAATGTGTGTGCGCATGCTCGTGATCGCTTGTTAGTCTTTGTGTGAGTGATAAAATGCGAGCCACGGAGGAATTAGACATGGGTATAATCTAAACGGATGTTGCTATATGCTATTTGGAATAGATATGAGAAAATAACTCTCAAACAACGTTTTATCATTTTAGAGATAAAAAGCTCTGTGCTATAGAGGGGAAAGAACATTCATTAAGCAGTATTTAAGTATAATTTATTACATATTTCTCTCTCATAAATGCTCTTAACTAACCTTTAGCATCGTCCACATTTGGTTTCAAATTCAGAACAAACTTCTTTGGTATTCCCAGCCCTTCTCCGGCCCTTATTAAGCGAACTGAAATTGAAAAAAAGATTTAAAAAGATAAGACGTTCACGAGGGCGTTAATTTATCCACATTTAATAAACACATTGTTGCAAACACGCTGTTATTACTGCGACCACAAAAACCACATTTTGAATTCGTGAAAATATATTATGAAAACACACACACTGTGTATTCTTTGTCTGTTATCTGCAAACCAGAAATGCTGATAAGGAGACCTTTGTAGAAAGAGCGCTTTCTTCGACTTCACGTTGAATACTGCATTTAATTCATTTTAATTTAGATATTCATTATAATGGTATATATTAAAACTAAAATATACCATTACATTACTGAATCATATCCTCTTACTTCGGTATCTTTTTTCTTTCATTTTTGAACTTTGCAGATACGTGACATTTGTCGATGTTCAAATAACACGAAATGGATTTCTTCGTCATTAAAACATACAATTTTCTATAACTTCTGTACCTAGTGCATATAACCATTAGTTAATTTTCCCAAGGCATGGTAGGCATTTTTGTTTTAGGTAAAATGATTGTGGGGTCAAGATGGATCAAATTAGCCTTTTTGTAAATAGTTTTCGACAACTTGAGTACATAGTGCATATAATAATGAGTTATTATTTTCCAAAGCGTGGTAAGACATTTGTGTTTTACGTAATAAATTGGGAGAAGTTACTGCATGTGCATGACCGAATGACGCGACTTGGACAGAATTACGGCCCAGATAGTCGTGGTCTCAATGCAGTCGTGACCCTTGTAAAGGAGGCGCTTATTCTTGTTCACACAAGTTTTAATTCAAACCGGTGTAGACCTAACATTAAGAAGTAAAGGCTTGATACCCCCTCCACCCACCCCCACCCCTGCGCTGTAGGTTATCCCTCCCGTCAGTCGCTCTTTGTGGCGCCCTCTATAATCACTGATAACAGTTTAAGGAATTAAATAGCAGGACATTGCAATCGAGCCCTTGTTTCTTGAATAAGAGTCTTGTCATATTAAAACACAATACATATTAATTAATTAATCCAATTATATTATGTCATGTCAGTAAGCCATACTGTAACACTGAATACATAATACAGAATATGTACATAAAATCAAATTATTTACCCTGCTGGAATCTGTCCCTGAATCGGTTAAATCTGGATCCAAATCGACCGAAGAATCCAAACCGAGCGTTAGCTAAAACAAATATATATTAACGTTATGATTATGTTAGTTTCTGTACGCCACTGAAGCAGTTATGATAATGATAGTGCACCCTGCATGGTTAAATATAATGATGTGTTGGAATGTGTTTGCACATGGGTTGGCACGATGCATCACACTAAGGGTTGGTTTCACCTACGATCTATAGCTTGGGAATGGGTCTAAACTTGAAGATAAAAATTTGGTTTTCTTGAGTTCAAGATAAATTTGGGCAGGCCAAGTAAATAAAGTAAATATTGGTATGAAAACATAAAACAGCTACCATAATATTTCATTTGGCTATTTGTTTAAAGATTTGAACCATTTTGTGTCTGTGTGTGTGTGTGTAGGGGGGGGGGGGGTTATAGATTATTTGTGAAACTGGAACCAGCCTGTGATTATCTCACCTTTGGAGGTCAATATATATATATATATATATATATATATATGTGTGTGTGTGTGTGTGTGTGACATTTCTTACCTCAAAAGACATATGCAGGGTAATAGGGGGATAAGATTTACCGATATGGTGGGCTAATCATAGGGTACGGCCTTTTGGACCCAGGTAAAAGAGACCAGAGTTGAATGGAAACACGCCTTAACTGTCAAATTTGGTGCATTATAATTGAGGCAGTAATAATTGTGTGATTGATGTATTTAGTGTATAGCAATGATATGGCTATTTATATCTTACGGCTTTGTGACGTCACTTACATTTAGATTACGTCATACTGGTTAAAACTGCAGCAAAACAGTTATTTGCGATGATATATAGAATTAACTGAAGCATTAAGTTGATACAGTATGCACATAAACATTAAGCCGTGCGTGTTTCACGTCGGTTGCTAAGGGTCTGTTTACAAAACTTGAAAAACACTGGCAAAAATATTTTACCAAGACTTGAAAATTGATAAAAGCAATATCAGCTCTTAGCAACCAAGTGATATAACTGATTTATTAAAATTGCTTTCACAACAACCTGTTTCCACCAAAATTACATAAACAGTCTATTCCTACCTGCCCTGTTCACACCGGCAGCGCTACCCTCAACGACGACACGAGCATCTTTCTTTGGTCCTCGTCTTATCTCGTCATCTTTCTTGATGATCGCTCCGTCATCAGGACCTGGGCCAACTGTGATAGGTGGAGGAGGCTGAGCCACGCCCCCATTTCCAGGACGACCACGCCCTCCACCCCGCCCACCTTGGCCATTACCCTGCCCACCTTGACCATTGCCACGCCCACCCCGGCCCCCGGGTACTACGGTCCCTAAGCGGTTACCAGGGCGGAGGTTGGTCATAACCTGTCGTTGTCGCCTTATCTGTGATAGTCGGTTGCCAGCCGTGTCTTTGAAAATATCCTGGAACCGGTTGAACATTCCGCCTCTTAGTCTCTGTGACATCACAAACGAACATCCGAGGATGAGAAGGGTGATTGACAGGAGGCAGTTCATTTCTGAAAATTATACGAAAATTGTTAAATGGAAGTCAGTTATACTGACAGTGGGATGCATCTATTACTAAAATGCACACTATTAAGAAACACTGCTCAATGTGTGAGCCATTAAAAGACACCTGTTTCTGATATGATCATTTTGTATTTGTTTTGATATTACATTTTCACTGCAGATTATATTCTCTGCAAGGCTTTTCTTTATGATAAAATGGTGGCCCCCTTTTCTAGTTGGTATTTTATCTTCGATGTCACCATTACCAAAATGACAAATCATTAAAGCTAGCATTTGTTAATTTTAAATGTAACTGTCACCGAAAAAATTTTTTTTTCTGTAATACGTTGACAGATGCATGCAACATTATCTTGTTTATCTGAGGAAACATTTATAGATGAGCCTCTAACACAAGGATGATGTGTAGCAGTTTCTGGATGAGAATACTAACTTACACCAGAGGAATTTTAAAAATCCAAAATGATAAACGCAACAAGATACCATATGGTTGTGTCACAGTTGCTGGTGTTTTCAAGCTGTGTGAAAACGGTAGGAAAATTATTTTGCAATATATTTTAAGGTTAAAACTTTTTGATTAATATTTATCAATAAGACTTTTTAAGAGAAAATTTTAAAAATATTTAAAGAATGGCTAAAGTAACACTTTTATCATTTTTAAAATAATCTATCTGGTTACAGGTTTTATGTGTAACCAAATCTGGTAAAAGCACTGAGACGTTTTGTAGCACCGTTTTTAGAAACAAACATTTACCATAATTCTTGTATATCATTATTCCCATACGTCACCAAATGGGGGAGTCAAATCAACTTCTTCGCGTAATATCTATTTGAGAGTTACCGTCGTCATTATAACTTCTAATGGATGTCATTGGGCTATATAAGGAAGTGAATCAAAAATCAATGAAGCGAAACCCCCGTTTGTTTAAGTGAATCGTGCGGAGTAGATAAGTCATACGTTTGTCACTTAATTGAGGAAATTGTCTCCTTAAAGAAGATGTACACGCGAGAAGAGCTTAATTCGATGTTATCACGAGACAACAGTGTGGTTCCCCCATGTTTACTTATAACTTGACTAATAAAGGGGAAATCCATATTTTTAATTTGCTTTGAGTTACATTTCGTATGTTCTTCATAAAATTGAGCAATTAAGGAATTTTTCAATTTTTTATTTAACAATCCATTTTTGCATTATCTTTGCAGCTATGACAGTACAAATGAATTGAAGGGTGCTTTAAAAGCGTACGTCAGGGAGACCCTTTTTGAGTGTTTTTCTGTAGATAAAAAGATATTTAAGGCTCGACCTCCCCCCCCCCCCAAACCCCCGTCCCCCAACCAACCCACCAATCTTATCTCCATACACCCACTAGCCCACCCTACCCACACCCACGCCATCAAGCTTTAAAACTTGCGTCTGGCATACCCTTCAGCGCCAGAGACAGGACTTTTACACTAGATATTCAAGATATGTCCCCGTCTTATTCTGTGTACATTTTTATGCTGCAACTAAAGATATTTTTGCCCCAAAAATGACGCCCCCTCTCAGTAGGGCTGTGGTAAATAGCATGATCTATGAGGAGTGTGGGAGGATAGTTATACCAGCGCTTTGGGTTGTGATAGGATATTGTTAACATACAATGTTAAATGTTTTATTATTATTATTATTATTATGATGATGATGAATTAAATGGTTTTTATTTTTGTACGTTGTTTTTTTTAATTTTTTATTTATTTATTTTTGCATTTTTCTGCCTTGGAATGATTCAATTTAATGGCAATTGTTAATATGTTAATATCTAAATAATTAAAACCAAAGTTTAGAAGGTAAGGGATTCACACAAAAAAATGCAGTGGAAAATCTTCCGTTATTTCTGCATAAATGATATAGGAATTGTCGAAATTGTCAAAATTAATCAAACAATGCTGGAATTAATATAATATTTCATTTCACTCTCACAGTCTCACTTTCAAGGCTGCCAGTACTTCCCCTCTTTGTTCAATATGGTCTGAGATGATAAGAAAATAAAAAAAAAACTCAAAGTGTGACTCATTGCATATGCTGATATTAGTACGGATACAGAGTAAAAATATCATATAAAAGTTATATCAAAGGTTCCTTATACATCGGGTTCGTTTTATCGATCGCAGTTTGAGAGTTTAATATTTTTCTTTATTCATTTTTTTTTTTTTTTTTTTTTTGTATTTCATAGTTGATCATCGTGCGGGATGATCTTTTTAACTTAAAACTATAAATGAAATATAGAAAGTATAGGGTCATTCTGGTTACTTTTGGAAAAATTACTTTAGCACATCTTTTTCGTGCATATTGTTTTCTCATTTGACGAGAGAACGTTTTCTAGGAAATGTTTTCTAGTCTCTTTTTAGCAGAGCAAAAAAAGGAAAGATTCTCAAACATGATATAATAGGCTCGACTTTCTCAGAAATCAACTAACCCTGCCATCATGATATTATCACCATATTCCTTTTATATCTTTTTCAAATTTTGACTCACTATATTTATATTTTCTAACCATAATAAAAGCGGACTTAGAACTGTAATTTCAACTTCGAGGTTTAAGCCTACTAATTTAGCTTTTGCAAGCAAGGACGCATGATCTTTGCTCAAACACTTCACTAAACAAAAAGAAATCTATATATCTCTTCTCGTTAATGTACACTCATTTTCTTAATTAAGACAAAATCAACGATAACTATTCAAAAATATTCCAAACTTACCTCTAGTTCTCTAAACCCCGTCTTTTAACAGAAACAGGATGTGCTTTCTCTTCGAAGAAACTCACTCCGTCGAATAAATCTAACCTTTAAGGGTAAACACCTGCGTTGGACTTATTATACTACAAATAAACAAGGGTGTATCAAGATCGACCAGCTCAGAAGTCAGAAATGACGCACGCTGTTTTGTCACCGTTAAATTATTACACCCCTCAGCGACCCTGTGTGTCTCCCCTGTTATCAGCTCACTTATATACTAGACCAGCCGCTCATCCCTACATCTCGTGTCGTGTGATATTATCGTCTGCTCATTTTGTCAGAAGACGCGGGGAAGGAGGGCCATGTTGTGACGCATAACAATTAGTCCCTCGCGACCTTTGCAAAGGGTGCAACACCTCGTCCCTCTCTGGCGACTTTGTCACGAAACAAGGCTTAATGGCTTGCTACTTGCCTCATTTGTGGGCTGAAGAAGGTTAAATTTAGCTGTGGCCATAAGGTAGACATATTGGTCTCTTTCATACCTTTAACCTGCCCCCCTTAGGCAGACGCGTATTGGTTTTCCTTTTAACAAACAGCAAGACAGCGTTCAGACCAAACTGATCTTAAACCGGAAAACAACCTGAAACGCGTCACAGGACAGCAAATTAACGAGGGGGCCAACTGCGGTTGAAATTGAAATCTATCCTTTTCTTTTTGGCAATCGGAACGAAGCCTGTTTAACAACTAAATAAGTGACGAAAAAATTAAGAACTGAAACAGCTCCACCCTCCCTTTAAGGACCATTCATTTGACTCATTTTAATCAAGAAAAAGTTTTCTTTTATTTTATATTACTCCGTTTAAATTTTTTTTTATTTTGAACACAACCTGCTTCTCAATCAAATCATTCATGCACCTTCATAGAGATGAAAATATATCTCGGCTATATATTATAATGTATTCCCCACGTGTTCAGAAATATAACTCCTTTTACTTCCCTATGGCCCCGATATCTATCTTGTGTGGGACAACCTCCGAGATTTTAATGTCTTATATTTATCGATTGACCTCTGCGTCATTATCATTATTATTATTATCACTGGAAGAGTCACTGGAAGAGACTTGATTATATTTCTACCTCACACGGAGTTTTTTATGCTGTTGTGAGATGGGTTTGCTATGTTAATTGACATCCAGGGGCCGACGGAAATGACTGGAGTCGATGTCGTTTCCTCATGTCTTCTTTCTTTCTTTTTCTTTCTTTTTTTTCTATTTTTCTTTCTTTCTTTCTTTTCTGTATTTTTCTAATCAATTCTTTTTCTTCCCTTTGAAACTTCTTTAAAATTCCTCTTCCTTTCCTTGCACTGTCACTCCTTTCTTCATCAAAAAATAATTGTCGAATTTCTACACATATATCTACCTTTTCTCAGCTTTGTCGTTACGTATTCATTTAAAACTACAGCCTAGCCTACATAGATTTTCTTTTGGTATGTTTAAGATATAGCACTTAGGTTACTCAGGTTCTAGATCCATTTAATTCTAAATCTCACTCTCTACTTCACAGACTTCGATATTATTATGATTTTCATCTCACGGCGGTCACTGTAAACGACCTATGATACATCTCAATTTTATAATCAAAATTAACATCCGGTCACGTTTTGAGCAGATACATTAAATGAAATTCAAATCGTAGTATTTGAAGGCCTATTTGCGGGTTTGTTTTGCATATTTTTTTTGTTTATTTTATGCACCCTTTAATATCAACGTTTTTATCCTTTTATGTTCAAATTATTTAATGATCAAAGAAACAACGCCCTCCAAGATAAGATAGTGCGACCACACCTCTGATTTTAATAGCAAAATATTTGTTATATACCAATGAACACAGTTAATAATAGCCAATGAAATACGATTGCGGTTCTCAAACTTAAATAAACACGATGGTCGTGGGCATGGACATGGGCCTTGAAGCGGAAATGTAAGAGATGACCGATTTGATTTAACGTTATAGTAACATGCACTTTTGAGTGATATACCGTGATAATGAAATAGCTCGGACGTGATGTGTGAACTTCACAAAGTTTGGGCTTCAGTGCAGAAAAGTATTCTTCTTCTTATCATTATTATTATACAATAACTAACTTGGTTGAGGTCACATAACGGCGATATTAGACCCAGTGCTGGGAATTATACCTTCTCCTTTTCTCTTTCTTAAATGTCATTCTAGTATTTCTTCTTTTCTTCTCTTTTACGTATTTTCTTATTCATTTTGTGAAATACTGGCAGCGCACGGTCTTCCTACAGCAGAGGTCGAAAATACGAAAACTGCCCTCTGGATTGACAGCTTTCTTCCGAGGGAGGCACTCTAGGCCGTCAAATTCAGATATTTTTAAAAATCCTGCTCTGGAAGAACACTCCCCACCGTCCAACAGCTCTTGTCAACCCACCCTTGAGCACAAGAACCCGACCCTGACCCATTGCTTACTGAACTACACTGTTGCCTCCGTTTCTTTACACCAGTAAAAGGTCAGAATTTTCTGCATATGGTTTGTTAATGGTTAATGAAGCAAAAAGTTGTTAATCGAAACTTCCACTTTTATTGACTAGAATTGTCTATACATATCGGTGTTAATAATCTGACAATCCCAATTCACCGAAATACATGAAAAAGTATACATGAGATCAGTTTTCTATTATCTTAAATAAACTGATAAAGTATTCTATAGTTTGAAAATGCCCTTAAATCATTAAAATGTCAAAAAATCCCGCAAAGCTACTGCCAGTGTATACAAATAATATATATATATACATTATATACTATAATACTATATCACATTCTATAGGCTAATTGACAGGGCAATTTTAAGGTGTGACGGCCAAAATCCTTGAAAAGAATCAACAAGTACAAAACAGTCTCACAAAACTTCAGGAGAAGTTTACGGTGACTGAATGAGGTATTTTTGTAGCACCATTTTTCAATTGTTCTGGTGCTTTAAAATTTGATTGCCAAAATAAATATAATAATAATAATAATATTAATAATAAAAATAATAAAGAAAAAAGAAATATCAAATCATTAAATTCTTGCAGAAGTGGTTCATGCAACTTAACACTTTAAATATCTGACATATTATATTTACAAATTTCACAATAAATCTCTGATGATACTAATACAGTTACCCTGATTTATATTGTGCAAAAAAGGTCTTAGACTGATGGTCTGGTCTCTTTAATATCTTTCAACACATTACCCATCACCTTTCTCGATGTAATATCTACTCTTGTCCTGACACAATGCTTGATGATGATCAGAAATAAAAACCATATTTTTTTACATTGGACATAATATTTTCTGTTATAAAATAGAAAAATAGAAAATAGTGATGACAACTTTATTGTAAAGTATACTTCCTTGGAAGTCTCACTTGTCACATAATCAAAAATATCAGTCTATCAACTTTTATTGCGACTCAAAATTTCCCTTTTAAAGTTATGAAATGCATGAAATGTAACTGAGCAATCACTTGTTAATAGTAGATCATTTTATCAATAATATTTAGTCACTTAACACCATTCTAATCTAACAAAAATAAAATTTAAGAAACACAAAATGCTTTTTGCAGAAAAAAATAAATACCTACACGCCCAAACCCATAACAAATCCTAAATTTTCAAAATAAGAAAGTAAAGAATGTAAATGATGCAGAGTTCACCACAGAATTGCTTGAAGTGATGAAGCAATTTTAAACTTTATCCTCCATGACAGGATTGTTGTAGGCAAAGTCCTTCTTGGTGTATTTCGGCTCCACTGGAAGACTCTTCTCTGTGTCCTCGCCTGCCTTGGGGGCACTGGAGAAGCTAAAACAAAGATCGGTTAAGTGTAAAAAGAAAACTGAATGGAATGGAATATGCTAAAATAAAGAATGGCACTGGTATGGTAAAAATACTTCTTGAGGAATTATTCCTCACATAAGAAGAGTTTTACACCAGGGTTGTCAACTAAAGTCTGAGGGAAAGGGGGTGGAGGATGGTGGTTGCTGAGTCTGGGACAGATATCTACTGGAGGATATTTACTGATGAATTTCCAGCCTTAATCATTTATTTACTTTTTCATTTAAACATATGGAACAATTGTAGTAAACAAACAAATATACATATAAATAAATAAATAAATGAATAAATGAATTGATTAAATAAAGAAGTCACCACTATTGTAATACTTACAAAGGCACTTTCTCAGCATCATCAATAGTTTCTGGCAATTCTCTCCCTGCAGTTTCAGGCAGTAGGATAGACAGCAAGGCTACAAATACCGTGGCTGCACCAAACACTATCAGAGCAGCACTTCTGCCTATAGCACCTGGGAAGGTCACCATGTTCTGTTGAAAAATGGTATCAATTATTACCTTCTTTTTTTTTGCTTGATGAACACAAAAACATTAAATGAGGGTGTGAGAGCATGCATAAGTGTAATGGATAAAAGAGTGGATGAATGAAATTTTGAGTAAGTGGGTAAGTGATTGAGTATGCAAATGGGTAAGTCAGTGGATGTGTTAGTGGATATCAAAGAGGAAGAGTGAATGAATCAGTGCAATAGTTCAAAACAATTCAATGGTAACATTCAAAAGACACATCTAACACAATTCAAAAGCCACACTCAACACAATTCAAAAGTCACATCCAACACAATTCAAAAGTCACACCTAACACAATCACTTACAGCAATGACAGGTGCCAGCATGCCCCCAACCCTGGCAAATGTGGAGCTGAAGCCCATCAGACTGTTCCTCAACACAGTGGGATAGAGTTCTGCAGACCACACATAGATGATGGCAAACCCCATAGTGGCCCCCAGCTTCCCTACGATACTGAGAGCTATGTAGAACCACCTGGTGTTAGGATCACCTGAAAAAACACAATGTTGTCACAACTGTTATCACACCTAACACATTTATGTAGTACTACTTGGTGTTAGGATGGTGTGAAGGCACACTATTGTGATAGATGTTTTCACATCTTACGCATTATGTAGTACCACTTGGTGTTAGGATAATATGAAAACACAATACTTTCACAACCATTATCACACCTAACACATTTAAGTAGTAGCACCAAATTTTAAAGCAAATCCAGAACCTTCTGAAATTCATCTCAACAAATTAATAACCGAGTTGACTTCCCAATAACTTCTGAACTGCAGCGTGCCACGGTCACACACTTACCAGGATCAGCGTAAAGAGCCACGAAAATGGTGCAAAGACACGCACTACCACCCAAGAGCATGCCAAACACATGAGGTCCCTTGCGGCCCACTTTGTCTATACAAAAACAGAAGCAGTAGGCAGGAAACTCCACCAGCCCTGAGAGGAAAAAATTGAGGAAGATATCTCCTCCAAGATTACCACTGTTCAAACTGAGGCCATAGTAGACCATGCTGACCACACACCTGAAAATGAGACCAAAATGCAGAGAAGTTAGATCTGAGGCAGAGACGAGCATCATCAAGATAAGCACTGTTAAAGATTTGAAAGACTTTGGTATGATTTCTCTCTCAATGATATCAGGGAAGTTTTCTTTAAATTTACTATATGATCACACCTGTATCAGTTGCAAATCTCTCAAAATTTAATTGTGTCTTTGGAAACAAATCAAGGAAGGTGATAAGCGTCCTGACAGGTGGGTGGGTGGGTGGATGATGGGTGGTTGGTGGGTAGGAAAGGTGGGTGAGTGGGGTAAGAAGGTGGAGATTGGGTGATGGTGTTGGTGGTGTTGGACAGAGTGGGTTAGAGGGCAGGTTAGTGGGTGATGGAGATGGTGGGTGGATGGTGGTGGTGGACAGATTGGGTGAATGAGTGGGTAAGAGGGTGGGTGATAAAGATGGTGGTGGTGGACAGATTGGGTGAATGAGTGGGTAAGAGGGTGGGTGATAGAGATGGTGGTGGTGGACAGATTGGGTGAATGAGTGGGTAAGAGGGTGGGTGATAGAGATGGTGGTGGTGGACAGATTGGGTGAGTGAGTGGGTAAGAGGGCGGGTGAGTGGGTGATGGAGATGGTGGGTGTGTGGGTGATAGATGGAGAATGGGCTGGTGGGTGAATTGGAGGGCAGGTGTTGGAGACAGTGGGTGGCTGAATGAGTATCACTCACAAGTTCATTACACTGTAAAGTGTGTCTCCTTACCAGTTCAGGAAGATGATGAGCGTTCTGACCAGGGTCCTTGGCGACCTGAAGATCTGCAGAATGCTCCCATGATGCTCCTCCTCGTCCTCGGCCACCTGCTCAAACAGTTTCTCTGGGAGGACCTTGCCATTCACCTTGGCTGCCTGGCGTAATATTTCCTCTGCCTTATCTTCCTTCCCATTGGCCAGCAACCATCGTGCTGATTCAGGGACAAACCTGAAAAGTGAAGTCACAGGTGGTAATCTACACAGCTTTTTGTGACCTCATACCTTAACGTCACAAGTTTTCATATTAATAGCTACTAATGACCTTACAGTCACAAGTTGTTATATAAATTGCCTTGTGTGACCTCATTTTCAAGGTTACCCCCTTATATACATTACAATCAGAAATTTTTTTTCATCAAGTTGGGTATGTAAAAGTACATGGAGATTAATTTAACATTTCCACATAATCAATAAAATCTTTACCAAATATCATTCTACTTACAACAATAGTTATCATTACAATGATTAAAATAACAGAAAACAATAATTTTCCCCTTACTTACCACCAGTAAAGAATATAGGCAAAACTTGGAACAGAAACTGCCAATTCTATATGCCTCCAGTCACGCAAGAAGTACCCAACCATGGTAAGTATGATCAGACCTCCCGCAAAGAAGTATTCTATTGATATGCCTGCTATCATACGCTTGGAAGGACCAACCAACTCCATGCCTAAAGATAAGATCAACACCTAGCCTGAAGATTTTTAATAAGGGCAACTGTCTTATTTTTTCTTTGTTCACAGCAGGTTTGACCTTACCAGATTTCTTAAATTACATACAAAGGATAATCAAATCAAATATGACAGTGCACTTATAGTAAGTGTGTTAGTTGTGACAGTTAATTAGGTGTGACAGTGTCTTGGCTGTGACTGTGTTAGATATGCCAATGTGTTAGATGTGCCAAAGTGCTAGATGTGACAGTGTGTTAGGTGAGACAGTGTGTTAGATGTGACAGTGTATTAGGTGTGACAAGGTGTTAGGTGAGACAGTGTGTTAGATGTGACAGTGTATTAGGTGTGACAAGGTGTTAGGTGAGATAGTGTGTTAGATGTGACAGTGTGTTAGGTATGGCAGTGTATTCCCTGTATACCTTACCTAGTACAAAAGTGGTCATGAACAGCCCGGCAGTGGCTGAGCCCACAAAGAACCTGAGGACAATAAAACTGTAGTATTCTGGAGCAAAGGCTGCTGCTGTGCCACAAACACCTTGTAGCAACACAGAGATAATCAAGGTGGGCTTACGACCAATGCTGAAATGAATCGAAAAGATTGATATAATATAAAACATGCACAAAGTATTGTTTACATTGCGTTACACACACTCATTTTTTCTATCACTTCCATATGAGTAAGACACGATCAAATAAGGTAAATGACTGCATAAAATGGTCATAGCGCAAAGAATGGTGTTCCATAAATGTATGCATTTCTTTCATTATTACTGCAGTGGAACCATGAAATTATTAAGTCTTTTGGGTGTCTTATAGTCAATAGAAACTTATCATCAGTGAAATACGTACGCATCTGACAGAGCCCCCATGACGAAGGCCCCCACCAGCACTCCTGCCATGAAGACAATCTGGGCCGTAGCAATCTTCCACTTCTCTCCACAGTTAGCCAGGCCAAACTGAGAGAAACAACCATGCTCAAATCAGTGATTTATTTAAGAGAAGAAACTTGGTCATTTCTCTTACAAATAAAATCAAATTGAATGTAAAACTGACTGAAAATATATAGGCTGTCTTATAAAAGTGATGCATTTACTCAGAATTCAATATCTGAAAGAACCATTCACTGAGTTTAGAAAGAGGCCCTCTAATATTGGAAATCATTGGTCAGAACATTTAGTGTATTTTAATTCCTTTCTTTCATATTTTCCATCTTAGTTCTCGTCTTTTCTATACACATTTTCTTTGCTCATTTCAAACCACCACAAGTGTTCTATGTATGAAAACCCTAATTCATGAAAACATCATTCACTGTAATCACTACAACATCTAGCAGCAATACAAAGCCTCTGCAGTCACTTACATCAGTGGCAAAGGTTGCAGTGAACACAGACTTGTCGTACACCCATTTGTCACAGCTATAGGTGGCGTTAGTGTAGGAGAAGTTGGAGTAGAGGGAACACTCAAAGTAGTCGCCCTTGGAGCCCAACGGGATGGTCTCGTTAATCAGGAGTTCATGCCAGGCTCCCTGGATTGCATACGTGTCATTGGGAAGACCTGGGATCATGCACCTGAAATATATAATTATTATACTACTACTTATATTAATTATAACAATAATATCAATAATAATAATAATAATAATTCATTCAACAATCACAATCCATAAATTAAGTTTGGCCCCTTATATACAATTATTGGAATATAATAATAATAATAATAATAATAATAATAATAATAATAATAATAATAATAATAATAATAATGTATTAATTTATCAATCACAATCCAAAGGTTAATTTTTTTATATAATAGTGACTCCTTACACAATGCTATCTGTCACAACTAACACAATACAACTTGGACCACATTTTAAATAGAAATGTATTTAAGCACATCTAACACAATGGTCATGGTTCCTCTCCACAACTGTCACAATGCTGCTGTGTCATACCCAATACAATGTTGCTTTAAGTCATGAAACAAAATGCAATGCAATCTCAGAAAAATTTATGGAACTTTTCCAGCACCCTCCAACACCCCCTCCCCCCCACCCCACCCCCCTTTTATACCCTAGCTGAGCTCTGCTCCAAATGTCACACAATTCTAAATATTTACCTCAAGATAAGGAGCGCATATATATTACCTGGTCCATTGTTTGTTTTTTACAGTGGTCATTCACCTTTGAAGGTTCATAAAGATTTAAATGTTTACTCACAGTGGACGTAGTTTACAGGTTTGATTAAATCAGAAGTGCTAGCTAAGATTATACGGATCAGAGAATACAGCCATTCAAATACACATTCAAAGTACTTTACACATAATCAATCATGGGTTAAGAGCTAGCAAGAGTTAATTATATATTATATAGACCAGAGACAAATGGAGTTTGTAAGCTGAACACAGCGATCCACTAAGTATTGTGTACAGTTCACAGTTGATAAGTGTTCACCAGTTGTCAAACTCAGACCAAAACTGAACTGAAACTGAAGTAGACCACAGTCTGTTTGTGAAACAGGCTGCATGTGCCAGTTACATAATGGATGTTGAAACAATAAGTTGTTCTTGTAAGACCTTTTAAACATGAAAGTTTGTCATCAAAATTTCTGTCCAGCTTCAGTCCAAAATGAAACCATATCAGAGCACTAAAGCAAAAGAAAGGGTGTGACAGCGAGGGGGGGGCAGAGGGCAGGAATCTTTGGAACTAGTCTAAGGTGTCCTGGCTTATTCAAGTAATTAGCAAACAGCAATGCAAGGACATGGTCACTGTATACATATATGTACACACATGCATGTAACACTGGCTGATCATGTAAAGGGGGTGAGGTAGGGAGAGGGGGGGGTGGAAGAAACGAGGACAATTTTATTGTAATAGTATACTTCAAGGATAAACAGCAGGCATGTACTAGTAGTCATGCAAACACATGCTAACAATGCAAAGATAGCATGCATTATGTATGTACACACATACAAATACATACCCAGTCACACATCTGTACACACAGCTAGTCCTATGCATACACAAACAGACACACACCTAGAAACTCACACATACACAAACACATACAAACACACTGTCACACAGCAAAACATGCATATCCAAGGCTTCAAAGGGATCATCTATTATATCATCATTTTCACATGTCAACCAAGAGTAACATTTTTCCAGATCCCCCCCCCTTCCTCCTCCTTAAGAGAGTACAGGGTGAAAAGCTAAAAATGGTTATCTTTGACAGCAATTTGGGCTATTATTATTTTTATTGTTTTTCAAAAGGGTACAGAGGGCAGAAGCCCCCCCCCCTCCCCTCCCCCCCAAACCCAACACACAGTTTGCAGACTTCTGAAAATGATGATAAAAATAGGTGACCCTTAAACTCAACATCAAATGCAGTGGTCCATGTTTGACCAGGGTAATTTATTGTCCTCAGTAAATATATGTATAACCACAGCAAACAGAGTTGCCACGCTCCCCTGGCTTGTCTTGATAAGCCACACCCTCTGCCTGACCCCCACGGACAGAGGACGGGATTTGGGATGGAAATTCCCATCACACCAACAATGGCTGATAACACAGTATCCTAATATGAAATTTGAAATTAAGTGGGCAAAGCATTCAATTTTACCAATGGGTCAAAGTAGCAAAGTATTGCTATTAGAAAGAGATCGAATTTTTCATTGTTATTGTTTTAGTTGTTGTTGTTGTTATTATCATTATTATTATTATTATTATTATTATTATTATTATTATTATTATTATTATTATTATTATTATTGGCAATATAACATTGGTTTTACTCAAGAACCTGGTTTGAATGATTATTACTATTGTAATTATAATAATTATTATCATTGATATTATTAATATTACCATTATTATTACTGGCAATATAAAATTAAATATAACTCATATATATCTCATTTGCATGGCTTCCATAAAATAGCTATAATAATTAAAAAGCAAATTTTCCTTACCTGTGTTTTGGAAGAACCTGTATAAAGACGGCAACCATCATATGACATCCTGCGGAGATGGAAGATATACACAGAATCAAGTATTTGATGATCTGAAACTTGCCAAACTCGCCAATATGGCGGAGGATATCGTCAAAATGCATCCCGGTCGATATTTCTGTATCGGAGCTGTCAGAGTCCTTGACGAGCGGTTGGCGTTCTTGATTTTTGTTGAAAATAACCTCTTCCTCCTCCTCTGAGAGGTCTGTGCCACTGAAATTACACATCGATGTTCTCGCATAAAATACTCAACAAGACCATCAAAACAATGTCCAATGACGCACACCTAGTCTAAACATTTAATTACACAAGTTACAAAATGACGATTGAGTCTGCAAAAGAGACCAAACTATATTGTAATTGTAGGGGGCATATATGCTGATGCCTTGAATACAAGTGACTATTTCTGCACTATAGTATGATTGTACCAATGATAACTGCTGTATATGAAGAGTTTACATGTTTATACAATGTCTTATGCAACTGATACTGGGTTCAATGTATCACATATGAAACATTGTACCACTGTTGTAGCACACAATTGTGTACAGCTCTGGAAAAACCTATGTATTGTATGCTGTTAAGTTTGAAAGCCACAGTGATTAAAATGCATACGTATTAGTACAAATCTTAAATTTTAAGCATAACATGCTATGACAAGTATTAACTCAATTTTTAGTTGTTGACTGAAAAATGTTTTTATCTTTGATTTATAAAATAACTGTCAAGACCATCAGCACTTAAGGAAATTTACTAGTACCTAGGTCTTTGGCCAGTTGTATAATTGAGCCTATCCCGCACGAAAATGCAGTAGTATCGAAGTAGCAAAGAAGCATTAACGCAGTAGTGGTGTGGAGCATATTTGCAGTAGAAATGCAGTATACCCTACTGCAATTCTACTTCAAAAATTACATAGGGTTGTACAGAGGAGGAGCATTAATGCAGTAGATTAGCAGCATGATAGAAGCATGTTTCAAATATGCTAATTAGCTCCCAATGCGAAGCAGATTTGAGGCATATTTGCAGTATGATTGCAGTAGTCTACTGCGCTGGAGCATCTACTGCGTTTTCGTGCAGGTATATACATCAGGGCTTAACCTCATAAGGTACTTCTTATCTCAACAGCTCGTGTATTTGCCACTCTGTCCAAAATTTTGGACGTGACAAGGATTAACATCCAGGGTGTAAAATTATACAGCCACTCGTGTGAGAAAATGCTGGACCTTTCCACCTTAAAGAGGGCTTACATGGTGGAGACTGAACACAGGATGATAATCAAAATGCATCATATATATGGTAATTCTTCAAGAAATTCACATAACAAAATAAAGAATGGCCCCCTCAAAAATTGTTATTATTATTATTATACTCATAATTATGAACAGTTTTGTGGAAATACTTAAATACATTGGTTCAAAAGTCTTAAAAAGCTGGTTGGCAAATAGCACATTTAACAAGTGTCCAAAAATCTCAAAAAAAAAAAAAAGAAAAACTTTAAAATGACTGAGGCATTTGAAATGTTCATGTACATACCGTAGACATAATAAGCAAGATAAATACAATCTAATCATTTTGTGAAGTTGTGGTAATATCAGTGTTCAAGTAACTTAAAGGAGATGATATACATGTGTATGAACCCTTGTCACAGTGTGTTATGAGTTTATTAAAGATGAGATACCCTAGATGTAAGATATGTGTAATAGAAGTCCAAGATATTGGTACATTGCCCTTGAAAGGAACTATAGATCAACAACAGAGGCCTCCAACTTCTCAAAGTACAAACTCAAATAGTAAAAAAACTCTTTTGTCACAAACTGCAAATTTTATTCATAGAGGATGTTTCAATTGCTGCCCCCTCCTCCTTTCGTGATGCACCCCTTACAAACTCAAATTATTTAAAAAATTCAGTATACTAGTACTACATGACAATGTGCTTATGTTAAATATTTCGATATAAATTAAATTTAAGAACTATAATATAGATAAGGTGAGAGGTTAGAAAATGCATGATGAGAAAACACATGCTAATTTTTAAAATCAGAAATAAACTTCCCGACTTAAAAGCCTACTAATACTAATAAGATATATGTATGTGATTAATTGAAAGGGTAGATATTATACTCTGGGTACACCCATCAGTCTACTTAATCACTGCAAAGTGGTGTATTTATCTAAAATACCTCTATGATAAAGCTCCTACTGAAACCATGATCAACAGCATATTAAACAATTTATTTATATATTATCGAGTCATACAGTAATTAACCATAAAATTGAAAAAAAAATTGAAAATAAAAAATTTNGGGAGATGCTAAGTGACGTATGAAATTTGAAATTATGTGGGCAAAGCATTCAATTTGACCAATGGGTAAAAGTAGCAAAGTATTGCTATTAGAAAGAGATCGAATTTTTCATTGTTATTGTTTTTGTTGTTGTTGTTGTTGTTGTTGTTATTATTATTATTATTATTATTATTATTATTATTACTGACAATATAACATTGGTTTTACTCAAGAACCTGGTTTGAATGATTATTACTATTGTAATTATAATAATTATTATCATTACTATTATTAATATTACCATTATTATTACTGGCAATATAAAATTAAATATAACTCATATATCTCATTTGCATGGCTTCCATAAAATAGCTATAATAATTAAAAAGAAAATTTTCCTTACCTGTGTTTTGGAAGAACCTGTATAAAGACAGCAACCATCATATGACATCCTGCAGAGATGGAAGATATACACAGAATCAAGTACTTGATGATCTGAAACTTGCCGAACTCGCCAATATGGCGGAGGATATCGTCAAAATGCATCCCAGTCGATATTTCTGTATCGGAGCTGTTGGAGTCCTTGACGAGAGGTTGGCGTTCTTGATTTTTGTTGAAAATAACCTCTTCCTCCTCCTCTGAGAGGTCTGTGCCACTGAAAATACACATCGATGTTCTCGCATAAAATACTCAACAAGACCATCAAAACAATGTCCAATGACGCACACCTAGTCTAAACATTTAATTACACAAGTTACAAAATGACGATTGAGTCTGCAAAAGAGACCAAACTATATTGTAATTGTAGGGGGCATATCTGCTGATGCCTTGAATACAAGTGACTATTTCTGCACTATTGTACCAATGATAACTGCTGTATATGAAGAGTTTACATGTTTATACAATGTCTTATGCAACTGATACTGGGTTCAATGTATCACATATGAAACATTGTACCACTGTTGTAGCACACAATTGTGTATAGCTCTGGAAAAAAACATGTATTATATGCTGTTGAGTTTGAAAGCCACAGTGATTAAAATGCATACGTATTAGTACAAATCTTAAATTTTAAGCATAACATGCTATGACAAGTATTAACTCAATTTTCAGTTGTTGACTGAAAAATGTTTTTATCTTTGATTTATAAAATAACAGTCAAGACCATCAGCACTTAAGGAAATTTACTAGAACCTAGGTCTTTGGCCAGTTGTATAATTGAGCCTAATATATATACATCAGGGCTTAACCTCATAAGGTACTTCTTATCTCAACAGATCGTGTATTTGCCACTCTGTCCAGAATTTTGGACGTGACAAGGATTAACATCCAGGGTGTAAAATTATACAGCCACTCGTGTGAGAAAATGCTGCACCTTTCCACCTCAAAGAGGGCTTACATGGTGGAGACCGAACACAGGATGATAATCAAAATGCATCATATATATGGTAATTCTTCAAGAAATTCACATAACAAAATTAAGAATGGCCCCCTCAAAAATTGTTATTATTATTATTATACTCATAATTATGAACAGTTTTGTGGAAATACTTAAATACATTGATTCAAAAGTCTTAAAAAGCTGGTTGGCAATTAGCACATTTAACAAGTGTCCAAAAATCTAAAAAAAAAAAAGAAAAACTTTAGAATGACTGAGGCATTTGAAATGTTAATGTAAATACCGTAGACATAATAAGCAAGATAAATACAATCTAATCATTTTATGAAGCTGTGGTAATATCAGTGTTCAAGTAACTTAAAGGAGATGATATACATGTGTATAGCCTTGTCACAGTGTGTTATGAGTTTATTAAAGATGAGATACCCTAGATGTAAGATATGTGTAATAGAAGTCCAAGATATTGGTACATTGCCATTTAAAGGAGCTGTTATATAGATCATCAACAGAGGCCTCCCACTTCTCAAAGTACAAACCCAAATAGTAAAAACACTTTTGTCACAAACTGCAAATTTTATTCATAGAGGATGTTTCAATTGCTGCCCCTTTTGTGATGCACCCCTTACAAACTCAAATTATTTTTAAAAATTCAGTATACTAGTACTACATGACAATGTGCTCCTGTTAAATATTTCGATATAAATAAAATTTTAGAACAATAATATAGATAAGGTGAGAGGTTAGAAAATGCATGATGAGAAAACGCATGCTAATTTTTAAAATCAGAAATAAACTTCCCGACTTAAAAGCCTACTAATACTAATAAGCTATATGTATGTGATTAATTCAAAGGGTAGATATTATACACTGGGTACACCCATCAGTCTACTTAATCACTACGAAGTGGTGTATTTATCTAAAATACCTCTATGATAAAGCTCCTACTGAAACCATGATCAACAGCATATTAAACAATTTATTTATATATTATCGAGTCATACAGTAATTAACCATAAAATTGAAAAAAAATTGAAAATAAAAAATATATAAATAGAAAAAGAAGGAATATAAATTGCACAGAGGTTACAAAGCAGGGTTTACCCCCCCCCCCCCCCAACCACCATATCCAGGCCTCCCTCCTTCAAAACCTTATCAGTCAAGTTTGGGGAAATTCCAAAGAACTGAGTTAACAGTTTGTGTAAGCTTTAGACCCGTGTGGAATATTTATCACTATAGTCATCATTATATATATTTACTGCACATATCTTGTTTAATCTAGTAAGATTTATATTACAATTTATTTTATTTATTTTATTTTTACTTAGTGATAATTGTTCTCCCCTTTTTGAAGGGGGGGGACTGGCATGGGAAAATAAGATAATCGAAATCTTGTTTTTACAAATAAATTTACTGTTTAATCTGACACACGAACATACACGGCTTAACATATCTTCAATGTCTCCTTACCTTCCCTCTCCATCGTTCTCCTCCAAAAGGGGTCGGTTTACCCCTCTTCTTCTTGCCGCCATTTCCTACTATATTAACTTCTCCCAAGAGTATTATTCATAATCATATCCATATGCTACAAAGTTACAGGAATATTGCACATTGGCCCTACATGATCGTCTTTTTTATCAAGTCCTGTTTTATTTCCCTGTGAAGGCTCTGTTTCCGTGTACGTGTGCGCTCAATTCCAACCTTTTTTAGTAAAGAGCAAGACGAGACCACGCAAACTTTGTCTAACGCAACTCTAGCAACGTATAAATAAGACACCGCAAAACTATCATTTAAAGAAAATAATCTGAACTGAATATTTGATTAATAATCCACTTAATAACTCACATATAGCAGTAATGTACACGAGAAGAAAGTTATATTTTATATTTCTCGTTGGTCAGATTAAACAGTAAAAATCTCACCAAAATACCCCTCAGACGTTGAGAAAACGGCGCAACGCAAGTGGCGCTCACCGTGTGCGGGAGGCTTTAAATTTATTTTATTTTAAAAAATTAATTGTTGTGTAAATAACCCCTTTTACGTCTGTTTTGCATAAAAGTAATATAAAAGGCTCTATAGTATATCACACACCCTAGTTCTGTTACTTATGACTAATCCTTCCACACCAGCACTAACCGTAATAGTACTGCATTTAGAGTTGTTTTTTTCCAAAATGCTTTGAATGGCTTCTGTCGTCAAGGATATCAGTGAAAACCCATTGACTTGGTAAATACTCCAAACGAGAGGCCATCAGCTTATACTTAATTAATTATCAGACGTTCACCAGATAGAGTAAGCTAGCCAGTAGGGGCCTATACTGATGAGCATCTGCTAGATGGCCAGTTTGAAACCAGCGTATGCAAGGAGGCACCTGATTTAATCAGAGCCAAATAGGCTAAATACAGTCAAGTCACACATCTAGCCACCGGTACAGCCTATGGATTCAGGCCTCCCGTAGCAAAACTCGACCCATCAGTGGCTGGTACTGTCAGTGTAAAAGTAGGTGGCCAGACAGTTAAGTTTTGCACATATCACTTCAGTCCTGTGGTATATGGGGTTTGCCATGAGGCAGGGATACAATAGAAAATTATGCTGTGGAGAAGGCTTTTGGATGCCTCACATTTACCAACATCATGTGGTGACAGTATTAGCGAGAAAGAAAGTTTTTTGGACAGCACATCTGATTAATTTTCTGTTGTTCCTATACATTTTATTCTCATATTTGTATATTTTGTATAAATTAACTCTTGCAATGCGTTCTTTACAAGGTCTATATCACATACCATCATCACATAACCATATACTTTTTAGGTGATTTAATTTCATTGTCATACAGATTATTGACCATAACTGTTACTATGTACACTATATTTTCATTCAATTTTAATTTTACCTTATCATTCGTACTGTCAATGTTTAACATTGGGATAAGAGCTCTTTTTACCGTAGAGACGTCGCATGGGCCTGTGTTGCGGTAGTTCGAAGCAATGCTCGTGGATTAGTTCAAAATGTCTCCTGGATAAGTCAGTTAATCTGTTGACATGACTTCACACTTCAAATCCAGTGTTTACCTTCATTTTAATACACTTACCAGCAATGTAAGCCCTGAGGGGAGGTCAACATGAAACACTGAGTAAACGCAACTTGAGTCTGTATATATCTAGACTGAAAACTGAGGGGGGGGGAGGGGCATCAAAAGTAAATCTGAAGGAAGAGGGTCTATTACCAAGTGTTAGGGCGCAATCATAACCAGTTGACTTACTGGTCCGTGGATCAAACATGGGGCCATCCACTTGAAAGCGTGCCGAGATTTAATTGCTGGGACGACACGTACTACTTAGGCCGCAGATCAACTGATTCTAAATGTGCACTCAGCCTTTAATTCTCCCAGTCAGTCTGATATAGCTTATTTTTCCTTACGTCAGCTTCCAGACGCAGCGTTTATCTCTTGCTTTGGTACGTACTTTTACGAATTCTAGCCCTCCCCCGGCCCCTATCAAGCATTCTTCTCAGTCGGTAGCCCTGAACCCGCACTTTATCACATATAACGGGTACTTGACAGATAACTGGATTCTTCACAGTTTAATGTTTACGCCCTCGTATGGACAGAAGTGTCCTATCTGATAGGATGCTACATAGTTCTACGTAACATATAGTACATGTAAGATAGGGAATAGGTAAATACAACTGGTAAAATTAGCCAATGTGATAACTGAAACATGAATAAGACGACTAAAATTGTCAAATTGGTTGCATCTTACTTTCTCTCTATCATTTGTGTGTGTGCGTGCGTGCGTACGTGTGTGTGTGTGTGCGCGCTGGCATTCTCCACGCAGTTGGATCAACACTGGTTTTGTTTAAGGTTTAATTAATATATTGAAAACGACCAAATTCGAATCAAGTATGAAAATAATTATGTTAACACTTTGGAAAATTTGAAGCTGAAAAGAACCTTGCTACAAATTCTCTCCTAGTATTGCCTTCAAATACAAAATCAATGAGAAGTACTGATAGACCCTAGAAAACGTGTACAATAAACTAAAACATAAGAAATGCTAAAGAACGATGTGGATAGTATTGCAAATTTCCTTGCTGTTCAACTTTGAAAAAGAAAATGTGATATGCACCAAGAATAGCGCTAAATATAAGGCAGAAATAATGATTCGTAACGCGTTTACCAGTTTGTAGGTAGACTTAATTTTAATCTTCTACATTTGATAGATTCTATAGTATATATCTCTTTTCTTTTGTCAGAATTGTTTTGCGTCTTAATGAGGCTATATTTCTGCTAAAGTTAAAACCAAGAAAAACATATGAATAAGATGTTGAAAACTTACCAAAATATGTCTCACTTTCAGCTGCCGGCGATGCTGCAAACAAGAGAGAAATCGGTACAAAACTGTTGACAGTCTTGGCGGTACTCAATTGGCAAAAAATCGCCTTAAAACAGCAAAACCAAATCCTCTGATTATTTAATTTACTTTTTGACTTTTATAGTTTTTTCTAATTTCTGTTTGTCTTAAGCTTGTCCCCCACTCAGTCGGTTGCGATCTTTCCAAGCTTTCCCGGAATCTGCCCCCTCTCTCTTGTTCCCGCGTCAGTGGACTGTCTCCTGTCACCGATGATGACAAAGTGATCGGGCCGTTCACGCGCGACCTTGTACCCCAGGCCGAGATATGTGATGTGACTTAAACTAATGAGGATACCAAAGGTAAAGACGCCGTGTGGTGCATTTTTTTAATGCGACAGATTTAAGTTGAGATTTAAGTTGAAATTGACCTCAGCTACACCTTAACGATTTTGTTCTGTAAAAGAAACTGATTGATTTTTCTGAAAATAAAACACCCCATGTGAATTATTTATGTAACGTGTAATGGGAGACTACAAATGCGTTGATGTTGTCTTATAACTGTACAGTAATCTGTATCCCATTGAACAACAAAATCCACTTTGAATGATTTCATATATACACAATTAGATATAGTAATCCATAATGTTGATAAACTTTTTCAGAAATGTGTATATAGTTTTGCTCTGGGTAGAAAAACTCTTGGGTCTGGACCCACTGTGAACCCTCGTCTCTCAAAGGACAATAGGTGTGCCTTTAAGTAATAAACGACCTTATCTTATTGAACTTCTTCAAGAGATGTACTAATGGGGATCATTCGAGATAACCCACGCTTCTCACCGTAGTGGAATCGAGCCAGATTTCGCGGGACTTGGAGGTGAGTAGGATCAGAAATAATTCTTCAAGTATTTAGTGCGAAATTTGGCAACTCTTTATTTTATTTTAACTAAAAAGAGAGGAGAAATTCTACAAAAATTAGGAAATAACCTAGCATCTCTGCGTATGAAAATAGAAGAACAGCGTGACCACGTCTAGGACCGGTCAGAATAATCAAGATGTCCTCGTTTCAACATTCTGACTTGCTTGATTGATGAAAACGTCAGACGTGTTCTCTATAATGATAATTTTTCATTTAAAATTTACAATCAAAAGGTTGGAGTTTACGATTTGGTTCTCACGTTAATCTAGCGAGTTTAAATACTGAAGTTACTCTTACTTGAAGAAAGCTACTGGTAGGCGCGTTTTTCTTAAATATATCTTTCATCTAAATTTGTTGCCCAAACAACAGCCAAAAGAGTTGATAAATCATATCCAATTAAAACAAAACCCTGGTACAATTTAAGCGTTTATTATCCGAGCAGACTATGATCACTCATTGACAAATAAAAGCGCAATTATGAAGTAAAAAATGTTGCACAAAAAATAAGCACTGCCATTAAATGCTACAATGCTTGCCAATAATAGAAAATCTTACGACACAGTATAGGCGACTCTTTCTCTGTATCTAATAAGCATAAATGATTACCTGATTAACATAATTAGCTAGTTAATGCAATACAACATGGAAATTTCCTTGGAAACAGTAATTCTGACATAATTACGTTGTCATGCCAATGTCGTCCGTTAACCAGAAAATAACGTCACTCACACCCGATATAAATAAAATACGTGAGTCTAAATTCTGAGTCGGACCTGGAGAAAATAGGTCACCACAACACAGATAATGAGCAGGTTATATCCACATTAATGATCTTATTAACATCAACTTGTTTCATCAAAATACAAAAATGTAACTTTTATACAAATATCATTTCCCATACAATAAAGGTGACTTTATAACCCTCATATAAGAAATATTATTTCATAACGTTAACCGTTTAAATTTACCTGAAATATCCGTCTCAAGAGACGGTAGGAATGAAATATTGTAAGTACAGAAGTAAGGAATGTACCTATACGTATAAAGACCCACTTTTTGGGTGACCAAAATGTGCATTCACAACAGATCATCCACGGACTTACTTATCTGCTGATTTACTATGGCCGACCTTATAAGCAAGTTCCTAATCCCCTGATGGTCTCACCACCTACATCCATGCCGTTAAACAGATAAAACCTTGGCTTAATTGCCAGGCCCTTGCAGGGATGGCACGTGTGGAGGCCATCAAGGGATTAAGCGGCTCGCTTTTAAGTGGGTCGGCCACATTTGATCTGTGGATCATTTAGTCCACGAATCAACTTATTTTCCAAGTTAGCAACTGACCTTTTGGGCAGACCACGTGACTGCCATTTCTAACCGCAGGAAGCCATTCGAACGCCCCATACGGTGTTTCGCTCAATGGGGTGGTGATTAGAGACAAACTGCTTGCAGTAAAAAGACTTTGTGGTTAGCAAACCAAAGCGCAAGGAATCAAGAAACCACGTGCTAACTTAGGTCAATTAAAGTTGATTGGAAACGAGGCCTGGGCGCACCACGAGTGTCGGAAGTCAGTGGAAATTTCCCAGCATGTTGGCGAAGGCAATTTTCTGGTGACTTCCGAGACTGGCAATTTTATTGAGATAGGAATGGCGAATTTATGTATACTTTTTGTCTGTTTCTGAGCAAGAAAGACCGATACCATTACATATAAGGTAAAGATAAAAAGACATCAGGTAAAAAAATTCAAAGCTAGCCATTCTAGCCAACATGTCTGTACTTTTCTTATTATAAACTTCCCAGCCTACATCACCATTCTTCCAGCAAAACCTAAAAACTTTAAACGGCTAATGAACCACTCTTAAACTCTCACCACATACTGCAAGAACTATTGAATTCACCTAAAAGCGCATGCACTACTAATGGCAGTTTTTTTTTCACAATGAAAATAAAATTCAATCAATGAACAATCACATAAAAGCTGAAAGAAATAGAGATATTGCATTTGTCTACTGTACACATTTTCTGGCAATAGATAGCCAACATTTTATAATATAATAATTTTAAGAATAATAGCAATAAAGAAAATCAAAATTTAAAATATTTTTTGAAAATAAAAAAGATAAGCTTGCAACCCTACAGAACTAATCGGAATGGATCAAAATCTAGCAAAATAATTCAATCACTTCATTCAACAGAAGCAAAGATGGCAGTAAAGATGCATATACATATATACTATCGCAACTAACTTGATCCATTCAAACCTCCTGCCTCATGGGCCGAGACTCCTATTCGGGTTGGATTTGTCCATACAATGTATCACATAACACCCCAAGTTTTAGGGTGCCCAACGTCATGTCCACGGCACTTCTCCTTCACATATCTGTATTACAGAAGACATAAAATGGGCCCTCTCAAATTTGGGGCGCTACATGTTAAACATCGCACTTAGCAAAAAATGACATACAAAAATATAGGGCGTCCACCTGGTTACACCTTTCATACATGTACATGGCAACCGATGGTCGGAAAAAATATACACTATGTACATGAGGGGCATGTCAATAACCATGGCAACACAACATAAACCACATCTTTCAAACCTGCTGTGACTATCCTGGGCTCACATCGGCATAGCAGTTTTTGTCACAGTGGATAAACTACAAACTTTTAACCAAACCATATTTGGGACCAAGAAGTGTAAAACTGTGAAATTTCCCAATAATACACATTTGTATTTCTATCCAATAAATTATTATAGCCATTGGCAGCAATTATCTTAATTTCATTAAAATTAGAAAAAAAATCAACTACTTCATTAGAGAATTAAGCACCAAATCTTTTGAAAAAATAGTTTGGGAGTTCATTTTTCTTCCCTTGAAGTCTGGCTAATACAAAAATCACTATGATGTGAGCCCAGTTGTTTCTGTTGCTGTTCGGGATCATCAAATGCTAAAAACCCTGCTAATCATACTCACATGTATAACACTGCTTAGGATAACACTTCATAATTATTATAATAATACATACATACGTACATACATACACAGAAAGCCTATTTATTTACAAGCACTAACAAACATGTACGAAGCTGGAATAACAGTCACATGACTATCATGAGACTTTCTAACTGTTAACTACCCAGTCACATGTCTGTCACATGACTGATGCTGGATTCACTGTTATTCACTGGGACACGATTCAATGAATTCATTCAAGTTGAAAAAGGGCTGTGCAGTGTCTCAATGCATTACTATAATGTCCTTTGCGAATAATTGTCTTTAAAAAGTGCACTGCTAAAAATGCTGTCATAAAATGACCAAATATAAAGCTAATCTATTAATTCCATATTTACCAAACACCATGTTTACATCATGAGCCAAAATATGTTCAACTTTATTTAAATTTTCAGAAAATGAATTTTTATATACCCAAAATATCTCTGATGTTTCCAAGGCAGTACTATTTGATATACAAGCTCATCAGCTGTCTAATCTATACACTCCCTGTAATATACTACCATAATATGACATATTTCAGATTTTGTACATAATAATTACTTGCACTATATTAAAAAACTTTTTGGACATACAACCAGAAACCTCTGCAACTTGTTGACTGACAACAGCAGCATTGACGATTACGATGAAGTCTGGCATAGTGACAAACCACAACATTAATTTTTTTGTACATTTAAAATCATCTTTTGTAAATGGTGCCCATGCTTGACGGCACATAAAGTGTAAAATACAACACATAAAATTGGTTACCTTAAAATTCAATATATGAACATTCACCTTTTCAAGGCCATTACTAAAACTAGTAATCACTTTTAAAAAAAGAGGCACAGTTATGACGAAGAAAATTATTATTTTTTTTCTTGTGTGATACAAAATCACCATTATCAATATTAATAAAAATGGATTGTTTATTTTCTTTAACTACAGGCCTCTGGCACTGCAGATAATATAGTTATGGGAATGAATATAAGAAACAAGCAGGTGCCCAAGTGTCAGAGCCAGACACCAGGGAGGGGTGGGGGTTGTTCTCTGTTAGGAGAGTAGGGTCTCATCATCAGCCACCAAATACAGAACAATTTTTTCTGGCAAGGACTTGCCTCTGCCACTTGGTGAATTGCAATCAGCACCATACTACCCCAAGCCAGTGTGACTTACTCGATCCTCCCTCCTCCTTCCCCAACTCAGCACACTTCAACCTGGCTCCAAATATTGGGAAATATTGTACACCCATAACATACATGTCTAAAATTAATTTCTAAGAGCAGTCATCACATCATAACTACAACCAGACAAGCATGTTTTTCTAAAAAAAAAAAAAAAAAAAAAAAGTCAGTCCCATTTGCACAAGCACATTATCCCCTATTTGCTCCAACCTTTCAAACTGCTAAAAAAAAATCCAATACACTTCATAGACATTACCATATAAAATCTTCTCATCAAGGCAAACAGTTCTTTCTGGCCAAATGCAAAGTGAGTTCCACTGGCTAACAGTGGCAAGCAGCAGCAGCATTCTAAATTGCGTTAGCTGTGACGTCCCATTGTGTCAAACGCATCAGATGTGCCAGAAGTGACAGCAGCATACCTACATGTTCTTATCATTATTGGTACAGTTATAAACTAATAGTTTAAAAAACAAAAGTTTTGGCAATGTGTGACAAGGAGTCCAAGTCCTCGACTCTTGTCTGACCAACTAAACCTCTGACATTGCAGCATTCTGGTATCCGGTGGGTGCTTTCTTGCGATCTGTACCATACTGGCCAATGAAGGAGCCGTCCTCGTTAAATTTCCCAGTGTCGATGTCTCCGTACTCTGCCATGCTGTCGTTATCACTGTCCAAAGGCTTGATGCTGTCTCTGTCCACATCTGTCAACGATGCCCTGCTGCCAGCCACTGGCTCAGCATCACTGAAAATGGAAAACAGGTCAAGGTCATTAAAAAAAAAAAAAAAAAAAATGTCAAGGCCATTAGTAAAAGGCCAAGGTCATATCAGACAGCTCAAGGCCATTTGGTTAGGTAACCATTATATGAACTAGGACAGTTCTGATTAAATAAAAATGAAAGGGACTGACATGCTGTTAACTTTGGGTCGAGGTAGATAATGTAACACAGACCAAGAGAGCTTTGGCAGGACTATAATGGCTCTAACATCACTGACATAAAACAGGGCCACAACACATCTAGGTCAAGGCCATGGGATAAATAAGGGTCAGCAAACAATACACATAATAGGCATATAGGTATAATCTTTATATAGTCTAACATTTAAATTAGAGAGCAATGAAACGAAGAGAGGACGAAGTTGTGATCACTGAAAACATGCAGCTTGACAACATAAATGGGTGACATGCTGGGTGACCCTGATCAGCAATCAATAATATCAAACATACTATTAAGACCAGACTGGGGGATAGTGAAACTGTAAGCAGTGTCAGCAATCAGCGAAGGAAGCACAGCGACAGCAATGTGTCGGCAACTGAAAACATTGACATTACGGCACAGTTCTTGACCAAACTGCCTTCATCATGATGGTAAGCATCAATTACAAAGAGATAACCATGATAAAAATTTAGCTACACGACCTGATATATTGCCACTCTTGAGGTGTTTTCATTTTGAAATATTTACAAACTTAGGTATCACTATTAATGCCACAAATTATGTCAATTTCAAAGTGCAATTTCAAAGTGCAAAATAGGAATGACTTCAAACAATAAAACACTACACTAGGGGGCAGTACTGAGCATGCTCATAAGTATTGCAAGAAAAAAATTTTCGCGTCACTGACAACAACGACATGTGACTAAAGCACTGCATGGTGGGTGATAAATGCAACAAAAGATGGTGTCACTTGTACTACATGTGGTCACAGGTAGCAGAATAGAAGTAGTTGACAAGTTTTTTTTCTGTAAATTCATTGCTGTGCCTTTACAGATGCAAATTTTTAATGTGAAATTTTGGCGATAGTTAAATATCATATAATCTCATGAATTCACTTTTTGACACATTTTGCAATACAAAAAAGTTTGCAAACAAGACAATTTTTGTTGTTTTCTGGGACACAAATTTCAATGTATTCTTGAGGTTATATTACCAGAACTTATGTAAAAGAGAAGGAATGGCAATGTGTAAAATATTAAGCGTTAACAGCTTTAAACTTGATCATGCCTGTTGTTAAGTGAATGGTGCTGTCAGATACCATATCCAAAGAAGACATCCAACAACAAAGATGTCAGAACTTTAGAGGACAATAATGAATACTTCTCTTTCAAATCAGTGAATTAATTTTTTTTCATGTATTATTCTCACAGAAAGCACATGTATGTGTTCATTTCCCTCCCCCCAAATCAAAACCTGGCCCCTCAGAGCCATGTTACAGTTACAACATGACGTACTTTTTTATTGTGTTACCTGCACTTCACTAGGCAAGCTAAACAAATAAGCAACAGTATGACACTCTAGTCTGAGGCAATAAAACTTCAGATCGAGGCATCAAATGAACACCCCATACTGAGGCAATGCAACCTCAGACTGAGGTAGTAACATTTCAGACTGAGGCAAAAAATTGACACTTCAGACTGAGGCAATAAAACTTCATACTGAGACAATAAAATTTCAGATCGAGGCATAAAACGAACATCCCATACTGAGACAATAAAACTTCAGACTGAGGCAAAAAATTGACTCTTCAGACCAAGGCAATTAAAAATAAAACTTCAGACGGAGGCAGTGGCCATACATATAATGCATGCCAATAAGATAATTTAGAAGCCATGACATAAGTGCATATTAACTTTAAAAAAAAAATTGGTACAAAAAATGTAACTTGTGAAAAAGGCTTTATAAAGCTAGTATTTTTTAATACAATTTAGCAAGTGTTTTTTTAAGATAAAAATAAGGTGTCACCCCTTTTGGACTGTTAAAGCCTCATTAATAATCTGCAGATATCAGTTGTCTACAATCTAAACAAATTTGACAGTTTTTTTCCCACAGGTTATCTTTAGCCAGCCTTTCATTTCAAAAGAAAAAGAAAACCAAAACTTGCTATGACACCTCTTTTCTAGGACAAAAAGTATAATATTTCATGTTCATAAGTGGTAGGTTACTATGGCAAGGTATTTCTTGTATCAACCGAATGACTGTTTAAAAAAAGGGGGGTTACTGTTGTATGTATGGACAAGCAAAAAACAATACCAAGACAATTGGGATATTACCATGACAATTAGTAATTTACCGTGACAACAATGTTGCTAAGCAACCTGATATACCAGCAAGGTAAGGATTTCAAAGTTTTTGTTATGGGGCAATCTTCTACTCTTATGTAGAGTAGAAAAAAAGATGAAGTTTAAAGGTACTATCATTTGACAAATATTATTCTAAAGACAGAAAATAAACACATTGATTTAATATTTTACTTGGCTAGAAGAAAAAACAGGTACTTTGTAATAATTAAAACATAAGCTTCAAGCCAGTGCGAAACATGTTCAATTGTAAAACTAAACATCCTTATTCTCTGGTTCTAACACATCAAAACACTTTTTAAATTATAAATTGAACTTACGGCCTTTTGTAGTCAGAGAAGCCACTGTCGGCCAGCTCTTTCTCTGGATCACGACCCGCTGCTCTCTCTTTCTCGTCCACTGAAACACAGGTTATACCATCTTAATACCACACAATATATTCTAACCTAAACACTGAGCAAAAATATAAAGGCCCCATGCAATCTTTTTCAAAAGTTTAAAAAAATAATCAACATTATGAGTTTTAATTATATTTATATAATACCTTACATAGTGAATTTTGTTGTTCAATGAGCTACATATTAATATCAGCTCATTTGGAGTCACCCATTACTTGTTCCATGTATAATTCACATGGATCATTTATATTTTGTGCTCAGTGTACATGGCCACTCACAAGTTTCAGACATTATTTTGGTTGGTTATGGAAAAGTAAGGAAGGAGTGGTTTGGTAGTTTTGACAGGGGGCATTTCAGGTTGAAAACTACCAAGAAACAATTGGATATCAAATCAAAATTGAAAAAAAAAGGGAAAAAACATGTCTGAAGTTTTCAACATCATTCTTTTTTTTTTTAAATTATAATCGTTTCAAGATTTAACAATTAAAATGACATTCGTGGGCTTTTCTACTGCTACAGTATTATTATATTGTATTACAGTATACACAATTCAATCTGATTAAAAACTAACTTTAAACCAAAGATTGTAACAACAATTACAGACCAAAAGTAATGAGTCTTCAATGAAAAAGGGCCTATACAATGTATGGCCATGTCATCTCCAAGTCCCTGTTAGTCCAGTCAGTCATGTCAAACACAAGTCAGTAGAAAACGATATCAAAATTGTTAAAACAAATGGAAAAAAAAAAATAAAAAAACAACAACACCACCAAGGAGTCAAAATGCATGCTTCCTCTTTAGCAATAGACATTATAGCAATCATTTTTCTTTAGAAAAAGAATTTAAAATACCGCCAAACACGAGTATAAGTACAAGGCACATAGGTGAGTATTATTATAATAAGTAATTATGACAACAATCAAGCACTATCTCTACATACCCGGATATTTGATTTCTCTATTCTTAGAGATGTAACACAAAGTGAACAACAACACCACGATTAGTATTACGAGCGCCACAAGGCTGATGGCGACAATGGCGGGAACCGGAAACTGGGCTGCGGCTGCTCTAATGATGGGATCTAGTCACCATGTAGAGGAAGACAGTTAGCCACACAAACATGCAACATATTAAAGATGCCCATTAATGAATGAACATATCAACGAATGCACGGAGCATCCCCTATTCAAAAGTAAATTGGGGAAACAGCCATTAATATACAGGGGTTAGGCTGGGAAAGGTGGGTAGGGGGTACTGGTACCACATAGAAACGAGCAGAGAAAAAGGTTCAGGGATTGTTACCCTGTGAAAAAGGGATGAATTCTCTGCCGATTTGTAAAAAAAAAAAAAAAAACGTGTACATCAATTGAAAAAGCAACATGGAAAGCAAGCCACATACAATATGAAAAGCTGAAATGTGCTGTTCTTGCAAAGAAGAAACGCGCAACATTCAAATGAAGCCAATATTACAACAACCCTGTATGCAAGAGAACAGTGAAAAAATTTTGAAACACCACCTGAAATGCATTCAAAAAGAAAAAAAAACAAACAATAAATGAGAAGGAATGCCCCGTTAAAATAACAGCACCCATGGGGATATCCCATCATGCATCAGCACAGACCAGCAACCTTTTCAGTGTAATTTGAAACAAAACAAAATGAAAGAGAATAAATCAATAAAATCCCAAGTTTTCCCAGTGCCAGCATGCACTATTGTCATCTTCAGTCAATTAGTAACACTGGCTTTGGGCATCAGCGCCATCTTCAGTCGTGTTAGTAATACTTCCGAACTCCCTCACTTAATCCTACCTGGATACGTCTCCCCCTTATTGCGCTGGATCAAGCAAATGATGATGATGATAGCAATAATTATGACTAAGATAGCCAAAATGACAGCTATGATCCAGTAAGGAAATTCTGCAGTTTGGACGATAACCGCTGGAATAAAAAATGACATAGTTATATATTATGATTACTGGCAGCATTTTGGAAAGGTTACAATTATGAACATCCGAGTCGTATGTCACTTTGGAACATTACCACTGTGACAGTACTGAAATTTAATACAATCATATAATCAATACCAATATATATCACAATTTGAGCAGACTGATATAATAAACAAAAGTATAACTAAGATATGTGGTTAGCAGTGTGGTTATTTGTTTGTATCAATTCAGCAAAACAGTGAGATGTAAATAGTGGACTTAGATTTCTTTCTTGTTATAAAGACATTTTGCATACTAAAATGTAAAATATAAATCAATATCTGTTGTTATGATCTTACTGTCAAAGAATGAAGGTGGGTAATTTCTAATGAAAAAAAAAAAAATGTATTCTTTTATATAGGAGCAAAATTCCACAAAAAGTTCACTTAATATTTCTCCACGTGCATACCTCAGTAATAAAATCAATCACAATGTTTGTTTAAAGTGTTTATTGAAAGTGTTTATTGTAATCATTTCTTATAAATACTAATTATGAGGTCTAACCAATCAAACGCTTACTTCGTAGAGCCTAGAATAAATTGGTGAAATTTCATGGAGACCTGTTCAATACTACATGCAAACACATAAGCATGCATGCACCCACAGAAAAGTACCCTCTCCATGTCTTTCACACACACATACACACACACACACACACACATGCAGGCACACACATCTAAACAGACGGGATTAAAAACAAGGCACATTAATGAATATTATTTAGAAATTATGAAAAGAGTATGATAGATATGGCGGGACCTAGCATAAAACGATACAAATTAGCCAATTTACCATTCAAAAACTCTGCATGCACTTTAACTGTCTCCTATCACAAATAGCTGGCACATCATATAATCAGCATAACAGATTTTAAAGCCAGGCTCAGGTATGAATTTACTTCTAAATAAGGTTATTACCCAGTAACTAAACTAAAAGGCAATGCATTTTTATACTGAGATCTTGGGAGAAAACTAAATGCACTTTTCATGGCATTCAACACTTAAAATAACACATGTACTGACAAAGGCTCTGAAAAAACAATCTAGCTGACATTAAGGCAGGGGCGGATCTGGGATATTAAGAAGAGGAAGGGGGCTGATGTAACTTCATAGCCAATGTAGGGTTACCCTGGCTACTTAAAGAATGGATATTACTTCAAAAATTTAGCAGGTAGTAAAAAAAGCTCTTGAAGAGACTACAGGTGTTTTTTACCTATGAGGCATGGCATTTAAACCCTTCATCACAACACTGATCATATGACTGACTCTGGCAGCTATTGGCCAAAAAGTCATGCCTCACCATTTAAAACATTAAGTCTCTTTAAAAATGAATTATTTTTTTCAAAACTACAACAGAGAAATTAAATATAAAAAAAATCCATCAAATTTAGATCTTTAATTGAACCAGACCCATCCCCCTGATACTGCCCCTGATAGGTGTGACACGTACAACACAGATCAACTAACCTCCTGTTGGTTTGACAACTATGTTAGTAAAGGAGTTAAATAGAATGATTAAATTACACATTAACAGGACTTAAATCTCATTTCTGCATTGAAATGTAAGTGAAATCTATGAAAACTAGATGTCATTGACTATATAAACAATTTCTTAATATCACAATAATATATGATTCATCAAATATTTATGTGAATGGATGCCCATAAAACATGCATTTTTTTAATATAAAATTCTTGATTTCTTATATATAGATTTTAAATCTGAATAATGTAAAAAACTGGCAACTTTTAACATTACAAAGATTAAAAAGAAATTCAAATCAAAAGAATCCCGTCTTCCTACCTGCATCCTTATTCCTCAAGGAAGCAAGCACCTCCACTGGCACATAGCCATTGTCCACCACACATTTGTACTCCACATGGACAGACCCCTTCTCTAGGCTTATGTCCAGGTCCACCACATGGTCATCGTCCATGATGAAGGTGTATGGACCTCCCGCAGGGAGAGGCACCCATTTTGCAGTGTCTAATGTCCTGGAAATATCAGTGTACAGTCTGGTGTTAGCACATGTCACGTAAGAATTGAATATCAAAACAGGCTGAGAGGACAAGTGTATATATACATACATACCACGGGGCTGATATCAAAACAAAAGGATTGCAGGGACCGATTCAATGAATAAGACGGAGTGACTGCCACGTGCGAAAGATGGGCAGGAAATCAGCCAACTACTCACAGAAAACCAATGACCCATGTCCCTGTCAATACACACGCAGCCACAAACCATTCACGCAAATGAAAATGATTGGACGGTGACCGCAATTAGGAAGTAAACGCGGGGTAAGTCCATTCTTTGATATCACCCCATGCGCGGTGATATCAACGTGTTCTATTCAAAGTTAGGGGGTTTGGGTGGGGAACATGCACAATTTCCCTTTGTATGTATGACAAATAATGCACTGTTACCCCCTCGCCCGATATACACGATAGCATGCCTTGCTGTCGCTCCGCATGCTATCGTGATATCGGGCTCGTGGACAGTGCATTATTTACTACATTATTACATGCAGAATCTTGAAATACATTGGCTATCTGCTGATAATCACAGCCATGTGCCATCTCAGACCTATATCTTTTGCACCAATCACCACGTAAATATAGTGGGTGCTCTTGAAGTTAAGTTTCACATCTATTACTGGCCTATGGTATTACGATGTGACACTTACTTGTACATCCAGGTGAAGGTCAGCGGTGTGATCGGGTCACCCTTGGCCGAGCAGTTGAACCTAACGTTGGTTGGCTTATCTTCTGTTTCATAGACAATATTTTGTTCAGGATCGACCAGCAACTGAGTCCTCACTAGAAAAATAAATAAATAAATAAATAAACCATTGATTTAAAATGAATGAGAAAATATAAGAAGGACAACAGAGACAGCTTGAAATTCAGTTTCAATGCATATAATCAAATTGCATATGACATTCTGAATCTGAATCTTGTGATGGAGGCAACAGAATAGCAATAACTGTGATGTGTGTGTGTGTGTGTGTGTGTGTGTGTGCGTGCATGCATGTGCCACAGAACATATTCAAGTTTGTGCATTATGACCAAGGAGCTGTTTTCAGCATCACCAAGATTACTTATCTCTCGATTTTTGTCCAACAGGGAGAAGTTGAGCAAGATAAGGTGACACCAACTCTTCCTATTATATACTCAGATATGAAACCAGCCCCAGAAAAGGCATTTCAAAGAGAGTACAAAAGGAGGCCATTTCAACTTACATAAAACATTCAGGTACACGCTGGCGTAGAGGTAGTCGTGCTTGTTGCTAACGTTGCACTGGAACACCTGTAGATCAGCTTTGCTGACGTTCTTCAGAGTAAACTTGGTCGGCTCCTGCACATCATACACAATCCTAGGCTGACTGAGATCTATCAAATCAAACATGGGACTGGTTATAACGAAATTATAACACTTGTTTACTGAGGGTCAGAAAGTCAGCTGTTTTCTCAAAGACTGAATGTATTTGTACTGCTGAGGACTGACATCCAGTCATGTGATCATATTACATCGAAATTTGATGTGGGGACAAAATGTAAAATTAATGTTTAATATCTTCTTTTAACCACAATTTTGTTAATTTAGTTACAGAGTTGTTGTATTTTCTTTATATATATATATATATATATATATATATATATATATATATATATATATATATATATATATATATAGCTTATATCTACTTTGAATGTTGTATTTATTCGGTTTTGACTTTTCAGGTGGTGGTGGTGGGGGGTAAATTGACACAAATTAAGTGAACCTTACCATACAAAAAATAATACCTCTGGAATGAATTTTTACATTATTGAAACAATGACACTCTCTTTTTGAATTAATATATATTTCATTGCTGCAAAGCCCCATAGACTGATGTTTGATATATTAAAAATGAGAAACCTTACCTAATTCCACACCATTGGAATAAAACTTGGGTTTTTCAGGTGCTGGAATCCCCTCTGTGCCACATTCAAAGGTGAAGTCATCCCCAGCTGTTACATTGGTGTTCTTAGGTAGCCCAGTTTTTGTCCAAAAGGGGGCAGCTAAGCAAGACAAGTTGAAACCAATATGTCAGTGATAATGAATGCTGTATAGTGCATGAGAGAGAGAGGGGAGGATGGAAGGAAACAAGAAAGAGAAAAGGCACATAAATTAAATTGCCTTACCTTCCACAACAACCTCAATTTCGGCGCTCTGAGAACCACCCGTATTGGACCCAGTGCAGCGATAAGTGCCCTCGTGGTCAAAGGTCACACCTTGAATGGCCAGATTTTGGGTTTTGTCTACAATGCCATCTGGATTCATTTCCCTGCCATTGGCATCCAGTTTGTACCAGCGAACAGTGGGGACAGGTCTGAAAATAAAGAAGCATTTCAACCACCTGTACCAAAAATGTTTGTGCCAACTGGTCCAAGAATTCAAGGTAACCCATGAATAAATCCTAGGGAAAACCCTTTTTCACATCAATAGCAAAGGGAGTTTTTTATATGTACAAAACAAGTTGTTCAATAAAAATAATATGGACACAGAGGAAATATATATCTTAATTGGCTTTCTTCATCCCAAACGTGACTGCAAAATATGGCTAAGGTGGCAAGCTACTGAACATATAACAATGGCAATCATTGAGCCTTCAGTTGTTTTCAAAAATCCTGCCTTTCTAAATGTGATGTGCCATCTCCTGTTACTTACTTTCCAGCAAAAATACAGCTCAGAGTTCTGTTCTGTCCCTTTAAGAAGACAACAGATGGTCCTGATGAGGGCGCTGGTGCAGTTTTGTACATCAGCTTTGGGGCATTGGCTGTCAAGGGATTATCTGGAATGATAATTATGAAAACAACAATGATAATGATGAACTTTTACATGGATCTCAGGGAAGCTCACAGTTTAAATAAGTATTTTTTTCTTTTTTTTTTGTAAAAAATGAAACCAAAACGACAATGATTTTTTAAAATCTTCCAGTAAAAAACGAAAAAAATGTAAAAATCAAAATTTGAACAAAGTTGTAAAATAATTATAATAAAATGAAATGCCATAATTGAAAAGAAGCAATAAATCAACTTCTATTTCAATACAGTCAACAGTAAAATTGAACCTCCTTTGCAGTAAGCTTTTTTTAGAAATAACTACGACTTACTAGTGTCAACAGAAAGTTTAATTGGACTTCCAAAAACGGATAATTTCAGAAATGAGTTGTACGCAGAACATCTGTACTGTTGATTGGGTTGAGAGTCATCTCTGGTAACAAACGCAAACCTCAGAGCTCCTGAAACAAACAAATGAATAACATTCACATCCAAAGTGATCCAAAGTGACAAATATTTGGGTTTAAAACTATTAAAACCCCCCTGTCTCAACCCTTCACTCAAAGCCAGTCCATATATACCATTTGTGACCCATTTTCAGATGAAATTATAAATTGGGTACTCAATATCTATTTACAACATCTCATTTCATGTAGGATCCTTAACAACAGCATGTTACCTGTAATACAGTACCATGCATGCAACATACTGTGCCAAATAATCTCATTACAATAATACAAAAAGCAAATTTAAAATATTTTCCAGTTTCTCTCTCTTTCCCTCCTTCCTTCTTTCTAACCCTCCTACCCTTCTCTCTCTCTCTCTCTCTCTCTCTCTCTCTCCCCTGTTAAAATCACAATCCCCTCAGTGCCAGTCTTACCACTCTCATCCACCTGTCTCCTCTTATCATCAGCCAGAATGGCCTGAGTTTCCTTCACGGACCCCGAGGCAGGCGTGTATAGTTCCCACTGAATGGTGGGATTGGGGGCCGCATAGGGGAATTGCGGTTTTCCTGAACACACCATGGTGACATTCTCGCCCTCTCGGACCACCTTAGTCTCTACAGTCTGGTTGTAGGGAAAAGCACCGGCCCCTTAACACAAAGAAAATAAGCAAGTTACACATTTTTTTAAAGATGTTAATAATATTGATGATCATCCATAACAGATGTCCAAGTTTAAAAGTATACGATGAGTATTACACATTAATAAAGCAAAGTTTTAATTTTTTCCTGAAATTTCAATACTTTTCATTTAATCATCAACTTCAATTTTTCATTCAACATATCCATTACATTTCCAAAATTATTATCTTTAAAACATTGGAGAGTTGGGATGGGTCTGAAAATCAGCACTACAAATATCTGTGCCTTAAACTTTTCATATTTCACGTGGGACAAGAAAGAATCTCCATCAAAGGCCAGCAGTTCGTATACTTACTCGATCTTTGGAAGAAAGCAATTGTGGACACTGCCACCATTCCGTCAGTATTTCTGGCCAGGCACTGGTAATACCCCTCGTCATTGAAATCGGGGCCGTTGATGCTGATGGTGCCGCCGCTGTTTGTTTTGTAATTCCAGCCTCTAGTACCAACTGACAATGACTCACCATTTTTCTTCCACTCATAACTGTAAAGAATTTGAAATAAATATTCATCATTTCAGAGTTTTAGTTTTGGATAATTAATTTTACCTATATACTGAAAACTAAACAAATTTAACTGGAAAAAAAATGACTAGCAGTTATGAAAAAAATACAATATAAAAATGGCAACTTCTTCAAAAATCTTCCTTGTCAACAAGCCATGCGAAATTGTCCTGTCATATTTCAATTTAGCCAAAAAATAAATGAGGCTTTTTTAATAATTTTTTGCCATAGGGTGTAATATGATTACTTGAATTGGCTTGTCTGAGGACAAGGTATCTCAATAAGTTCAGTTGTTTAGAAGGTAAATGAGCAATAACCAATTCAACCCAATCTCCTAATATTTTTCATGTATTTTCATTTTAAATTAGCTTTGTTTTAAAAGAAAGTCAATATTTGGTACCAGCAGGCCTGTAGCCAGCAATTTCGAAAGGGGGGGATTCTTTTTCTGAAAAAGTGGACCTTTTCCCATAAAAACTTCATGTACCTAGATCAAATTTTACCCAGAGTGGACCTTTTCCCAGCAAAAGGGGCGGTTCTTTCGAACCCACCTGGCTACGGGCCTGAGCAGGGAAATGTACTGATTTGCTATGGTATACACTTACTATGGCTCAGGTATTCCTTCAGCACGACAAGGTAATTCCTGTGTAAAAGTGGCATCATCTGTCTTAAAGTAGTACTGTCTATTAGGCTGTACTATAAATCTTGGAGGCAGCTTCATGTCTGAAAGAGATTTAGATTTTTTTTCACAAAATCAGTGAAAGAGGCAGAAATATTTCCTAGCCAAATTTCAACCTAGCTAGTAATCGACCTACAGTTAAAAGGTTTACTTGCAAGCAAGCAAATCTCTCATCCAATGCTCTCTGATGAGCTAAGGACTTTTTACTGAAGGAGAAAAAAATCCAACAAGCCTTTCACCATTCACAACACAAACAATGTCATGCATTTATACATTTTAATTTATAACAGAGAAGTCAAAGATGTCAGGCAACAAAGTATCCTGGTTCAGGGCCGGCATAATGAGCTTATTATAACATCAAACACTGTTTTATAGGATTCACACGTCACATTTTGTTCAGTAACCTTTTCCATAAATACAGTATTTAAATCAAACTATGTTCTATTATTTCTTGAATTTTTGTTCCTATTTTTATGTCATGAGAGAACAGTGGATTGACTGCTCCCCAAAGACCATAAATCCTTTTTTGAAATGTAATAATTATTATGCCATTCAACAATTTCAACAGCAGTGAAATTTAAAACATCAGGTCACATGCAATTTTTATTCAGCGCCAACCTCAAGACTAGCACACTGAGAAAAAGTTTAACAATAAGTCATGCCTTCTTGTGTAAAAAGGTGCAATATTTTCAAGGAGGTGGAGTATCTCTGCTTAATTTTAGGTCAAAGTTCAATGAAATTTTCAGTCAAAATTAAGATCAATTTTCAGTCAAAATTAAGACCAATTTAAAACCATGTTTCCATTTGATGGCTTCTCCGAGGCCAGTCCTAGCTCTAGCCAGGAATCAGCAAGTTTTAATTCTAGTTTTTCACAAAGAAAAAACTCAGGGGGCCGGTTGCAATAACACCAAACAGTTGTCTTGACAAAATAATGTATGCTGGCTATGTATACCTTAATTTCAGTTACATGCAAGGCTACCATGCACACATATATATAGTGACAAAAAACAACACAAGGTTACTGTAACTAATTGTGTAATTCTTTTTTTTTTTAATTCTTAACATCTATTGTCAGTGTCTTATTTGGGAAAGGGGAAGATTTTATATAGTCAACATAAATACATTTGCCTATTATTTATCATCTGAACAATCTTACAACTGATGATGACAACATCAATAATGACCCACATGGAGACAATTAACGCACGTTTGGTAAGAAAAAAAAGATATTCTCTCATGCCAGAGTTGTTCTGGTGACAACAATGTGGACTTACCCCCAACTGCATCCTCATCTGCTACCGTCCCATTTTCTGTGATAGCATATCAATATAGAATCACAAACTTAACCCAATCCTTTATTAACTTTTGTTAAGTACAACCATATGAGTCAAATTCATATCTGTTGATGAATGATATAAAAAAATCAGCCACATCCACATTTTTCCCTTAAGAACCCAATGTGTTTTCACCAAAATAGCAATCTTATAGCTCATACTGTTTCGTCTTTCAATCACAACCAACACAATGGCTCCCCAATGCTATCACAACCAACACAATGGCTCCCCAATGCTATCACAACCAACACAATGGCTCCCCAATGCTGTAACAACCAACACAATGGCTCCTCATCACTGTCACAATTGGCAAACCTGATGCAATTGGTCTCTTTTGCTGTCACAACCTAACACAATGCCGAGTTCAGTATGTTTACCTTGTGCTATCACTGTAGTGAAGAAAGCTGCTATCACCACAACTGCTGCCTTCATCATGGTCATTCTCTGTTCTAGCCTGTAAATAAAAAATTCAATATAATAAAATAAATATAAACAATGTGAGTGAGAAATCACACCTACACACACACACACAGAAAAGAACTTAATTATCATTTGGCCAATTTGAAAATGAAATGGTTAAAAAAAAACTCGATTCAAGCAGAATTACTGCACTTACCATTTTCTTTGGCATGCATTACCCTTGACCACATTTAATTTAAATGCATATTGCATTGTTGACAAAAAGTCAACTGTGAAACAGACATCAAAGAAAATACACATAAAACAGAAACTGGACCAATTATAAACAGTGAATTTAAACAATGAAACTTTTACAATGAGACTTCTGACAAACTTATGATCCAATTGACTATAATTTTAAAACCAAAAACACGAGTCAATCATGTTAACAATAAAATATTGTATCAAAAGAAGGACTTTACCCTAAAATTCTAGGATAAATTATCTTCTATCTTCACCAACCACCTGGTTTCATGAGCACCCTAAAAATGTAATAAATAAATTAAATAATTTCATTCCATACAAAATTGCAAGATGGCTAATCTTGCAACCCAAAATACTATTAAGATAAACAGTAATAAATTGAAAATAATAAATACAATTCCATATAAAGGTACACAATGACAGATTTTGCCAGCCAAGCCCCTCTTAGTTATTTGAAAATCCTTGGCAGAATCAGGAGAGAGTGGGTGGTTTAGAAACCCTTTAACCACACCCTGCAATTGGCACCACATCCTGCCAGTTTTTTTTTTTTTTTTTTTTTTTAGAGGTGGGGGGGAGGAAGGGGCAAAGTTATCTTAAACGTGTAAAATGGGAGTAATTTCAGTGCTTTTCATTGCTTTCATTACTTTTTTTTCTAAATGGTTTAAAATTTGACTTAGACAAGTCAAATCAACTTTATTTTGCTTAGTCCATTTAAATCAGTTTTAGCATTAGGATAAATAGGCGAGTGACAGTGCTACCCCAGGTAATGGGGTCACAGACTCCGTAACCTGTCAGCCACTCGAAGCCTCGGCCTCATCTGTATGCAAACTGTGCCTCGGCTGCTATTAGTGAATGGAAATTGTATGTTAACCATCAATAATGGCTGGCAATATCAGTGAGGATCCCATTAGTAGCTCAGTAAGCAAACATGGTACACCATGAGGCGTATCTCAAATCCAGGGACCAATTTTCACAACATAACTGGAGAACTACAGTTGGTCTTGAACAAAAATGCTCATCAGCTTAGTTTCTAGATCATATAATAATCTTATTGAACACAAGATGGATTTTTTCTTAACCTGGTTGAAGGCCCTCATCAAACTGCTGTTAGTTGATGTTGTCACTCACTGAAAGCTAGGCCGTATAACAGCCAAAAGCCCGGTATTACAAATATCAGGCAGATCGCCCCCCCTCTTCCCCCATCAGTCAGTGAGTGCCTACATCTTCTCACACAAGCTAACAACTGTGAGAAAATTTTAGCTTGTGTTCAATAACCTTTGTAACAGTTGGTCTTGTCTTAAATACTGGTGTATTTAAACCCAAAATTCCTGACTAATCTACTAAAATATGGTAACAATTGGTCCAAAAGATGAGGCACATTGCTCTTTGTATGAAACCATCACAATTCATTTATCTCGAACTGGTTCAATTTGCACCCATGATGACAAGGACAATAAAGAATCATAGAATATAAAATTTTCACATCAGTATATTTCAAAGAACACAAAATTTTCACATCAATATATTTCAAAGAATATACAATTTGCACATCTATATCATCCCGAGTAAAATGTATCAAAAGCAGCAAATTGTCTTCTCAAAAACTCCTTTTAAACCAAAGACTCCTTTCCTCCTTTCAAAATTCTGGTTACCAATAGAGGCCAGTAGATTTGAAGCTTGAATGCAGCCAATACCTCTTGAAGGAATCACACTTATCTTACAGACCACTGTAATCTAGGCCCCTCTCCAAACACAGTGTACAAATGAAAAACTGAAGAAATCAATAAATTATTCCACATTAGAGCTCAGTTTTGAATCACTTGGGAGCAACTTCTCAAGTAGCCCTTGGCAGTTGTTTCATAAAAGAACATTCAGAAGATAATGATGAAAATATTTCCTGGACTTAGAAAGAATGGTGCTTTACCATCACCACCACCACCACCCTTAGACCCCTGTTCCCTCAATAAACATCCATTGTAACTTGGCCATTCTTTCTGGAGATGGACAGCAGTGAGAATGACTTTAAGGAGGCAAGGCAAAGCAAGACACCAAATTTTTTCTTGCCTTTTGTCTTGTCAAAAATTTAATGAAAAAATCAATCAACTGGCAAAAGACAACTGCATTACCTCATGCTGTGAACCTCAATGGGAAACAAATAGAATAGCAGCTTTACCAACATTATTGGACAAATATATATACAAATCATAATTTCTACATTCAATCTATCATGCTCCGCAGACCATGCTTATTAAGTCACCAACCGTGTGAATTACTGTAAAGTAGCCATGGCAACAGGTTTAAAATGACCACGCTAATGTCTGTATGACAGCTTTATGTACTAGTACAGCCATCTCTGCATATGGCAAACTCTATGCAGTATGACCCCGAAAATGGCAAACTTCTCATCACATCAAATACCATTCTTGTCATTATTCTCACATTTACGTTTGCTCATCCTCTGTATAAAAATAAAAAAGGCCGTACAGAATTACTCAAAAGCACAGGTTATGTGGTTCATGTTACATATTGCATGCAAGAAAGCATCAAGCTTAAAGTCACCCAACTTCATGGTCCCTCGTATATATCAAAACGGCTCGTCAGCAGCATTAAGCTGTTTACTGTCTGGCTGTTATTGCTTTCCACATGCTTTCTTTGCACACATACGTGCACACACATAAACAAACACTGAAGGAGAGAGGTTCAATCTTATCTATGACTTCAGCGGTTTTAATGGAGCAAATGTAGGCCATACCCTTATCAGAAGTCTTAACGAATAACTGATTTTCTAACAAGAAGAAATCCCCAATCATGCCTGAACGAAATTCTAATCATTTATAAGCCCTTCATGCATATGATCAAGCCTAACGCTAATGTTTGAATTGTCAACCAAGGTCTGATCTATCTCGCCTCTGTCACCATTAAAACAAAAACAACTCATAAATAACTTTGCCTATTGCATACACTTCAAAGAGGCTATGTTTGCGTTCAAAAGAAATTTGGTGGCACAGCAACAAAGAGAAAGAGCCGTGGAATGCCAGCAGCACTTCAGATGTGCATTTTTTTCCCACAGGTAATGCCTTTGAGACATTATGATAATTGGTCACAAAATATAAACCCCTCAATATTTCACTTTGAATTCTCAAGTTTTCATTTTAGTTATTCACATAAAAAATGTTTAATCCAAGCTAGAACCAACCGGCTTTGTAGTACCTTCAAATTGGCCTTGTCAAGTATAATCAACAAAATAGTATTTTGCAAAATATTCTATATTAATTTTATTCAAATATCTCAAGTTTAATGATTTCATTTGCTTACACTGCTTGGACGTCTTACAGATTGATTCTCAAACATGAAAACTTGGACAATATGCCCCCTCTCTTCATTGGGCGACAATCTGCGTGGACTGTACCACTTGTGTATGCCATTTAGGACTGGTCAGCATTTCATAATATTTTATTTCATTCTGTATTTCTTCTTTGAGAATTGCATAGCTTCAAGAAAGCCATCCCTGCAAATTTGGCACCCATACAAGTAACAGTTAAGTGTAATCAGATTAAAGGTGAAAAAGTATCTTGCCAACTCTATTAAAAAACAATACACGGTTACAGACATACTTTGAATTGTGTCATATCAAATTATACAACACTTTTTCAAAAGTATTTCGCCAATTCCTCCCAAAAAATTACAAGGTAACAGGACTACTTCGTTATGCATTTCACGTCTGGCAAAGATGCCCTACAAGGCCCAATCCGCCCACTCAATTCTTTCAAACAGTTCAACTGTAATTTTATGTAAAGTAGCAGGTGTATACAGGCAACACGCCTTGACCTAGTTAACTCAAGTCGTAACTGAACCTTGGGAGGTCATTTTTTCTGCGTCAACCTATCATGAATTTTGTTAATGTAAGTCTCATTCCTTTATCAGTGCACTTGCACAAACTAAAAAGTGCATCTGACCTTAAAATGATTGGATGCTCCCTGGAAGACAATTATTTAAAAAAAGTTAAAGTGTCACATAAATTATCCACAAGCTGACACTATCCTTCAAGACCACATTTATAATAAATCTCGTCTTTTTTTCTTTTCTCCCTATTAATAATTTTTAAATAAATCTTTTCAAAACTCTGCTCCCCTGCATACTCCCACACATCATCAGCTACGTAACCTGCTTTTTGGGACAACATTCAAACGACGCGAGAAGACACCCACGAAGGCACGCTGACCTCTGACTCCCTGGGACTACAGTCAGTTTTCACTATCTCAATCTTATATTGATTTTGTGCGATTACATTCTGCCAAACTGAGGCCATTTGTTTCTATACTCGCGCTTTAAGAGGCTGTGGTAAGATGTTTCCACAGAGAGGACATTCCATTGCCCCCCCCCCCCCCCCCCCCCCCAATTTGAATTTACTAGTATCGATTCTTCCAAATATTTGTCTATCTTTGCTTTGGTGCAAATTTCTCTGAAGATTTCTATATTGCATTTACAACAGATTTCTCCTAATGTTTTTCTATCTTTACATTTACAACATACTTCTCTGAATATTTCTCTATCTTTGCATTTACAACATATTTCTCTGAATATTTCTTTATGGTATCTTTGCATTTACAACATATTTCCCTGAATATTTACCTGTCTTTGCATTTACAACATATTTCTCTAAACATTTCTCTGCCTTTGCACTGACAACATATTTCTCTTAGTATCCCAGCTAGGGTCAGGTGAGATTGTCCATTGAAATGCATGGCTCTGTGGGACTGATTTCTTTTTATCTTTGGAGAAAATGTCAATTCTTAAATGACCCAGATATAAAAATAAATGATCTTTCCAGACAAGTTTGGATGTACCTGAGTGCCTTCCATTTCAACTGAATTGCTACCAGCATCCCAAGTCACATGGCGGGCGCATGTTGGCCCTTTAATTATGTCTCGACTAAGGTAACATTATCTACAGATGCACATGGCATCATATGATAGGTACAAACTTTTGGAATATTTTTCACCTTTATTATTCAAAAGGGAAGCATGTTTTGCAGACATGCAGTATCTGTAATCTTATATATGTATGACTGTTATGACTGGGGTAGACCTAGCAATTTTTTTTTCTTGCTCAGCCAAATCGCTCCTTTTTCATTCCTTTTTTCTAAATGTTTTCAGTAAGACAAAAACAAGTCAAATCACCCTATTTTGTTTAGTCAATTTTAGTCAGTTTTAGCATTTGGCTACAGCGGCGAGTGTTAGCCCTACCCCAGTACAGTCATATAATATTACTCTCAATA